TTGCACAAAGAAAGGAGGTCATTTTCTACGCAACTAATGTTCGGCTTCATTGTTTTACGATATCTCTGTCTGTCTTAGTATTTATTGGTTTCACCACAGCATCACTACCCTTGCAGGTTGCCTTTGTGTCAATGATGTTTTTGAGAAATTCAAACCCATAGAATCCTCCACCAAACTGGGTCAGTCTTAAATCCAGCAGGGTCAGGGATTAAGGTTGGATTTATGTCCCTCTATGAACGGAAAACATTGTTCCAGGGATTCCCCAAAACGCAGTGAAGGAGCGCCTACAGAGCAGTGAGAGATAATCCCTGCTGGCTCCCACATTCAGACCTGGACGCCAAGAAGCAAACAAGACTTCTGACAAAGAAACTCAGAGGTCTTTGAGATGTGAATGCTCTGTTAGATGTTCTTAGTCCTGTTTAGAGCAAGAATGTTGATCCTTTCAGAGAGCAAAGGTCTTCCAACGCTTCCAAATTTGAAGGTAGAAAAATGCATTTTATGTAAAATGGTTATCAGGCAAAAATGCCAAATATTCTCTGTTCCAGCGTCTCAAATGTTGGATCTGTTTTGGACAACTGGTTAGACAAATCAAGCAGTTAGAAAGTGTCACCTTGGATTTTTATGACATTGTGATCGGACGACTGACTCAGATTAATCTGAAAAAAAAAGATAAATTCATCCACATTCAACTCCTCAAATTTGACATTTTCAGTACAGGAAGTGGCAGAAAATCATTTTGGTGCAAAAGAACGTATAAACTCTGAAGGGAAATTTGATATTTTACCAATTCTTTCCTGAAGAGAATCAAAGGTCGCCTGCGGAAATGAGAAAATCTTATTCAGTATTTTCTGGGTAATGACATCCATTTGAAATTGGATTGATTGATGTAAACTACATGTCATATTGTTTTATAAAGTCAAGAAAGAAAATGTTCCTCTTCTCCACAAGCTTGAAAGCAACTCAATTGATGAGCTTCACAGGGCAAACCCGCACACCAAGACTTGTTTAAGAATTTCAAATGGGAGTCAGTGACTCAGCTGACATTCTGATCAGCCTGTAAGATAAATCTTTCATGCTGGAGCATATCTCATCCTCATTTTCCTTACGTCCTCAGTTGCACAGACCTACAGAATTGGATGAATTCATGCAAAGTCTTCAGAATGTGGGAATATTTACTGAAAATGACACAGAATTTAAAAAAAACAAATAAATGCGGAAGATTCAGGATCATGAAGCATTCAGGCTTTGGGTACCTTCGTACTGGTGGTGAATGATGGACGGCTCATCCTGAGTTCACTTGTCTTCCGTGTCTTCCCCTGTTGGTTCCCAACCCCCTCGGGAGCGAACTACCACGCCCCCTTTTGTCCTGTTGAATGCGCGAGCTCTGAGTCTTTTAGCAGGGAAGTTGGGCTGAGAAAGACACTGGGTTTACCCCTCAGGCTATTGTTGTAACGCCCCCGTAGAGGCCTGAGATGGTCTGGATGCTGATTTACATCAGCGCTGTTGTTCTGAGCTGATGGATTGTCAGAGCGTAGCTTACTTAGTCCACAACAGTTATACTCAGCATTTTACCCAAATGTACAAATTTATAATGAATACAATTCTGAAACTGAGTGAGAGCTTCCATTTCTTACTGGATCAAAGGACATGGCTTGAGGAGCTTAGCTTCCAAACAATCCTAACAGTTTGTAAAAACCTTGAATTCTACACTACATGATTAGGAATAGCGGCACAACTGAACATTTCTGTCACGTGTGACAATTAAACAGGTACATTAATCTGCTGCTCCAACACCTTCCACTTGTCTGGTTTCAGTATTTTCTCCAGATGTTGAACCTGCTGCAGGGATTTGTTCCCATTTAAGCATTTGGGGTGATCAGGTCTGGCTCACAGTTGGTGGCCCAGTTCATCCAGAGGTGTTGGATGGGGTTGAAGTCAGGGCTGTGTGTAGGCCAGTCAAGAGCCTGGTTTGTGCACTGAGGCGTTGTCATGTTGAAATAGAGTTGGAAGATCACTGTCGTCTAAAATCCCATTGTATGTCATAGGAATAATATTTCTCTTCACTGGAACTAAGAGGCCTAAACCATGAAAAACACATATTCCTATGGTCTTAGACAGTCCAGATTTATTAGTAAACATGAACAACTCTCTCCCAAATCCAAAACGTAGAGTCCTAAAACTGAAATTAGTGATGTCATCAAGTATAAAGTCTGAAGCTAATACCCCTTTTCCACCAACATGGAGCTAGTTCCATTCCAGTTCCCACACCTAATGCTGAACTTTTCAGAGCATCTAGACCAAAAATAAATTGGTTCAGAACCAAAAAAAGTCAGTTCTCAGCTGGAACCGAAAAATAGCGGGTGATAAACTTTTTGTAAAATATTCAAACCTTGAAACTAATTTCTGAAGTACAAAGGCTGTATTCATGTCACTTTGAGCTATTCATCCTCACGTCAGGCAGCTTTAGTTTCTCCGTTATTAAGAACCCTGAATAAAAAGGATAAAATGGACTTTTCTAAATTAGAAAATGTCATAGCTGAAGTGAGAGAGCAGAGTCTCTTGGGCTGCAGACCTTTTTTTATCTTTTAAATTGACACAGAGGCAGCGCTTTGACACAGCATGAAACTTCTCCAGATTGTGTTCCAAGGACTGAAGTAAAGATGGAAAAGAAGAAAGAAGGAAAAATTTAATTCACAAGTCAGGCGACTGTATTGACTCCCAAAAAGAGTGGTTGTTGACATCCCAGGAGGAGTGGTTGCCAGAAAGAGGAAACGATAGAGATAGAAAACAGGAGTCAAAGAAAGGCAGGAGGCAGAGGGCAGCTTCCTGACACCGCTCGGCTTTGTACGCTGCGGCCCAGCCGTATGCAAATGTCAGTTATGCTAATGAGGTCCTCTCTGCGGCCGGTGGCAGTTAAAGGGCGCCATTCAATCACCCAGTCAAGATCTGGTGGTGAATTGGCCTCTCTTCATCTCAGCAGCTCAAATGGCCCATCAACGGGCTATCAGGGGAGATGGGCGCTGAATAAAGGGGGCATTACGAGCGGGTATGAAAGTCCCCTCTTATTCTGAGCCCCCCTACGCCCACTGAGGTTACAGGGCGAGAAGGGTCCCCGGGAAAATGCTTTTCACTGAATGCACTTCTGTAAGTAATAATGGTATCTCAATGCCAAGTGTGTCTTTTGGAGGGTTTTGATTTGTTGCTGGCTGTTGCTGTCGTACACACTCCTCTCTTTGAGATCAAAGTCGTGACTGAGTGGTATGCAGTGTTATGTATGTGACGGTCTGGACATGCGTTTAAAGGGATGAAAGTGGGGTGTGGTTTAGCTCTAGACATCATATGACATAGTTTGACTGATTCAGCACTCAAAGGAATTTAAGGACATTTTTATGCAGCTATTGAGCCTCTTTTGGCTCATAGTTTTGGTTTAAAACATACAAACTGTTTCAGCCTCGGTGTTTCCAGCTGCACCAGGCAGCTGTTTTCATCGGACAAGCTTAGATAAACCCACCGTACACTACCTGCTTAGCACTAGAAAAAGATTTAGTTTTGTTTTTTGGTTGAAATAACCACGTCAGTGCCGATTCAATATGCTGGATTGGCTAAAAATATGCCAACAGGGACGACTCTGGCGACAGGTGTTCACCGACAGCCTGACATTGACCGACAGTCAGTCGTCGGCTTAATGTGTGTCAGAGCCCTTAGTCAAAAGAAGTCCATGTTAGCATATACAACAGTTTTCCTGGTGACAGTCCTGTGTTTGTTTGACCCATTCATTCACACTGACCTCCCAATGAGGACTTCCTAGCTTTTTATGCTACCTACGAGGTCATAACTTTAACCACCACCCACTGTGTGATGTTTTTGAACTAGGGAATTCCTGGATGCACCATGAGAAAGAATCCTGATTTACTTTACATTGGGATTTGTTATGTAGTGCGGCCATGTAATGCTGGCACATTTTGACCCATGTGGTCATTTCACATATTTCTGTGAGACCAGGTTGGCGACATTACATTTATCGCGTGGCCACCAACACGACTCCAATGGGATGATCATGTTGCTCTGTATCTGCTGGATGTGGAAATAGATAACTGTTTCCTAGAATGTTTGACACAACAGCTTTATAAAGTGACATGTCAGATGTTGTGTTTTCAGTTTGTTTCACTTGTACCCCTGATGGCCAAAAAAGAAAGAACTCACCACAAACCATATTAGCGTTTTGTTTTGTTTATACTTTTCGACCCAGAATGCAAACATCAATACAGAACTGCTCACACTTAACTCTTTAACCCCAGTAAAGTACCCTGCATAGTAACACTGCCAGTGCTCTAAACCTGCTCTCAAACAGTAATGGAGTCAGAATATAAAAATCAATCATTACAGCTGTGAAAAAAATGACTTCTACGTCAAACACTGCTGCACGATAGGATCACATTGTGTATGGCATCCTGCATTGACTGGACTAAACAGCAGAAGAACATCAATTAAAGTGTCCTGTGGTGTTAAAGTGTCCTGTTGTTACTGAATGAAAACCATCAGTTGATGCTGCAGGATGCTGTTGAGGGTTGATTTTTTGTGTTTTAGGGTTTGTTTTTTTCTATTAATATTTACTATATTTTGTTTTTATTATTCATGACATTTTTGTCCCATGAAACCAGCAGACCCATGATAAGAAACAAGATGTCCTTCAGTGATAACATGTATAAAACATATATTGTCATGTATTAAATGTGAAAATATACATTATGTGCAATGAGTAAGTGTAGAATTGAAGTGGATTTACACTCAACTCCTGAAGTGCTAACAAAGAGCTTTGAGTATGTTCTTATTTACAGACAACATTGTTCATGTCCATAATTACTTGACATATGTTCCCATTATTTAAATGTTGTATAGGGCCTAGAAGTGGCCATTTCAGATCTGAATGAATTTGATGGTCTTCTGCCAGATGGTAGTTATGTTTATCCTAACTTTCCACTATAATTGTCTGCTTCTAGATGCCTGACCAGTTTGACCAAACGTTGGTTCTGAACCAGCTCAGATATTCCGGCATGTTGGAGACCGTTAAGATCCGACGCACCGGCTTCCCCATCCGGAGACCTTTCCAGGACTTCTGCTCCAGGTTTGTCTCTGCACCAACGCAGATATGGGATTTTTTTTTTCTTCCTTTACCTCTGGAGGCAGTGCCCGTAGTTTTTCGACTAACGGAAGTGCAGGGGCCGGCAGTGCCCCCAGGGAATTGCCTTGTTGTTTACAAATACTTCCAGGTAGAAAACCGGCAGAGTTTAGCTATATATATATATATATATATGTATATATATCACATTTTTCACGTCACTATATTACCGCGTAAACTAATCTGATGTTTGTAAAGTCTATAAACACAATGACTGAACAAACATTACTATCTCTGTGTGCACGTTTTGTAATTAATAACATGGTTATCGTAGATTAGCTGGGCTAACCATTAGCTGTTAGCCCCGTTAGCTGTGTCTGTAGTAACTCAGTAACTCAATAAACAGTCCGTGAAAAAAATATTTTTTCCAGCGGATATCTTAGTTACAACGTGATTGAGCTAGCAAAGCAGTTTTGTGTTGCTATGTGTGGTATTTATTCAGTTTTGGGAAATCACGATGTCTAGAAAGCATCAGTGGGTGCAGCTGACAGGGACAGTTAGCAAAGCTAACATCAGGACGTCAACTGTTAAAAGCTTCCTGTTGTCGGATACGACATGAAACCATTCCAGTTAGCTCAATCATGTTGTAACTAAGACATCCGCTGGAATAAATATTTTTTTCACGTTGATGAGACTGCGTTTTGGGTGGAGCGGTCGCCATGGACGCAGAGCTTGCTGTTTCTATAGGTACACATTTCCTGGGGACACCTGCACATCTCAACCATATTACCCATTTTAAATAGTCAAATTTGCTGTACACTTGGCGGTGATTGGAAGGTTCACGCAGAATTCCTGGAGGAACTGTCTTTTTTTAATAAAATTAAGATGCACACAAGATTCCTGATTCTTACCTAAATCACACCAGGACATCTGGAGTCTAACCTTCCACCTAACCTCACCACTTCTCCAGGTACAAGGTGTTGATGCGTGGCGCCATGATGCCGGATGATCCCAGGGGGAGCTGCATCCAGCTGCTGCACCTCTATGACAGCAGCAGCGCAGAGTGGCAGCTGGGAAAGACCAAGGTGAGGGACAGATGCGCTTTGCTTAAACCCATACTCACATCAAGGTCGTGTCCTGTTTTTGATTTTTTATTAAGATATACTTTATTAATCCCCGAGTGGAAATTCGATTTTTTTTCACTCTGTTGTCATATACACACACAGACCCAAAATACACACACATGCACAAACAGGAGCTAGATATGCATTAAATGGAGAGATGTCAGAGCGAGGGGGGCTGCTCATGGATAGGTGTTGGAAGTTTGGCAGTGCCCACGAAGCAGACTACCATTCCACGCTCCATATTTGGTCTGGACGGGAACTTGAGCCGCAACCCTCCGGTTCCCAATCCAAGTCCCTATGGACTGAGCTACTGCCGCCCCAGTCTGGAGGGGTCTTGTTGTATTGCCACAGGTCTCTAGTCTGCATGTCAATATTACATTTGACTGCATAAATTCCCCCTTTGAGAAATAAGAGGTAGAGGTCTTCAGGGTTCATCTTGGTTGCTAGAGACTAAGATCCCTCAGAGAGCTTTTCCATTGGCACATTTGGCTGCACCGATACAAACAACACCACTTCAGTTTGCTTTTTTCATTGTTAGTTTAAAAGCACTGCATCTTGCCAAGCCACACTCGAAAAGGACCATCTCCGGATTCAGACCAAAAGCGTGCCCAACTGCCTCCCAGCAGCCAGGCTTGGACCAATTTATATTCAGTCAGTCCAGGTTTGGAAGGGTCTTGTTGTATTGCCACAGGTCTCTTGGATCCAATCTGTCTGTCACACGGAGTTTGACTCTGTAACATTCTTGTAACTGTCTAGTTTGACTTGAACAGAAAGACAAAGGAGAAAGAACAAAGTGTTCTGAGAAACTACACACAAACAAACATCCTGCACAGAAATTTGGTTTATTTTCTATTTCCAGAACTGGTCTAATTTATTTTTGAAAACCAGTGAAGGCTCCTTCGGCCAATTCAAAAATGTGTCGACAACAGAAAAATTATTTTCCTCAGAATCTGTTCTTCCTACTGATTTGCATTTCCTGTCTATCAGCGGTGAAATGTTTTCCTTCTGCTCAGTTCTCTACAGTATAATTGACTTTTTCCTATCAGACCCTGAGCTCCTGAATGTCCTGCCGTTCATGCCGCCTCTGGCTCACAATGGCTGATCCCTGTTCTCCTACCTAATATGAATATGACTAGATGCAGACTTTTTTCGCCAGTCCGTGTTGGCTGCACTCAGCTACCCTCAAGGCTTAATTTGGCCTCATGCGTCTTACAAATCCAGCTCAATGAAACAGAGCTCAGGTACCTGTGTGGCTGCCGGCTCTGTGTGTGTGTGTGTGTGTGTGTGTGTGTGTGTGTGTGTGAGTGTGAGAGAGAGAGAGAGAGAGAGAGAGAGCATGAATAATTGAAGTCCAGAGCACCTGAAGCGAAGAATCCAACAGTTATTGGATCCAGTCTTCATCCCCTCGGTCTGCTGCCCTCTGCTTCCACTACACCGGATCAGAAAGAATATGCCTACAGTCAGTGTGTGTGTGTGTGTGTGTGTGTTTGAATGCTGGGGGAAATGACAGATGGGGTACACAGATCCCTAATCACAGCACGACTGTGTGAAGCTGCAAGAGGTGGCAGCAGTGGAAAGTGTATGTATGAGGGGGTGGACGGATGAATGGTCATAAGTGTGTGTGTGTGTGTGTGTGTGTTTGTCCAGGTCCAACAAAACCACAAGAAACTGAATTAAGAGTCAGCACCGCAGCACTCAGGTGTCAGTTTTAACGTGCATTTGTATGTGCACATTAAAACAAATCTGAACGTCTTACCAAGGACACAAAAAAGCCCCGTTTCCACCAAACACTTTCGGTATGGTACCTTTGGAACCAACAGTAACACTTCAGACATGGTACCCTAGTGTTTCCACCGCAAACAGTCCTCTTAAATGTGGGCAGGTTGTTGTCACTCACTGCTCCGTCCAGCACTTGCTGTATTTCCTCATCACCGTTGACACAGACAGAAGTCTACGCCTTGTTTATCGTCCACAGAACAAGGCTGCTTGTTGACATTTTCAGAACAAAACAGAACAGACTGCAGTGTTCACAGCTCCCCTCCTCTCCTGATGTCAGCTCTTATGTTATGTCACTTTAGAAACATTGCTATGATGCATATGCAACGTACAAATGTAACACATCCATGGTTTGCAGTAATGTACAGTGCCAATGTTTTCTTCTGTGCTGATTCAGGAGCATGTCAGGTATGTTGCGCCTGTCTAAAGGTTGGTCACAAGGCAGCAGTGAAATGCCACCATTTACCAGATTTACAAAAGATTAAGTGGCCCTCATTTTTTAATCATGTCTTTATTCATGTCTTCACTTTTTGATGAAAACACACATTGGGTTTGCATTTTAGTTTGCAGACTTTGCTTTAGATGTGGTTACCAGGGTGGGTGTCACACCACCTGACAGCCCTCTGCAGAGCCTCTCTCAGCGCTGAATCACAAAGCCGTTCCTGCTGCTGCGACTGCCTGTAAACCGTTAAATCAATTCTATCTCTCTCAGAGGGATTCGTCTACTTTGTCCCACTGCCTCGTGCAGTGAGATTTACATCGAGCCGGCCTCCAGTTCCTTTCAGTCGGCACATGTCCTGACTATTGTCTGGAAGATGTTTTTTGTTTTTTTTTACAACCTCAAACTTAATTTCCTGGAAGTGATGCGGCTCCTCTTGCTTCTCCCGTGGTTCTGTTCTCTCCACGGGCCTGACCTGTCACGGCGAGCAGCGCTCCCCAAAGGCCCCAAAAGCAAGAATCAAAAGTGCACCAAGGCTTAGCGCAGCCTTTGTTGTGCTAATTAGCATAGTAATGATTAAAAAGGATTAGTTATTCAATTCATTGGGATGCAAATGTGTGCCCGTACACGAGGCCACATGTTCTGAGCATGTGTGATTCATGTTGGAAGTTGTTTAATAAAGTGAGGGTGTGTTTGAGGTGTGTATGTTTATGTATGTTTCACTCTGTGTGTTTGTGTTTACCTGTGTGGGTTACATTATGGGGACATAAACCTGATCACACATTGTGGGGACATAAACCTGATCACACATTGTGGGGACTTACAAAGTCATCATCCACTGATTTGTGGACTCCCATTTTGAAGCCTCTAGTTTGGCATTTCAGCTGTTGCCATCTTGGATTTTTGAAGCCAAAACTGACCGTATTTGAATGAGATGGTGTAGCTGTGGACGAGTAAGGGGTGGATCTGACTCATATGTGGTGAAGCCTCATAGACAGCCTGTCACTCAAAGTAGCCATGCCCTTAATTATGCGTAACTTTAAGCCTTAATAAAATGGAAATGGTTGAGTTATATAATAATTCGTCCCCTGTACAGTTGTCATGAATTTGAAATTAACTACAAAGACCAAAAACACTTTACCAGGCTGTAGACATGTTTCTTTCTGCTGTAATGCTGGGCATTTTAACATGGCGATCTATAACGATTGACTCGCTTTTGGATCCAGCCTCAAGTGGCCATTTGAGGAACTGCAAGTGTAGCATAAGTGTGACATCTGACACAAGCTGACAGATGATATGTATGATATTACCAGACAGTGTGAAAAAAGGTGAAATGGTCTTAAATTGTCTTGAGTTCAGATTTTATGACTTAATATTTTCGGTCACATCACCATGAAAATTTCTCCAGCCTGACAGACCCAATGACAGTTTACAATTATTGGACAGACCTAAGAATTGCAGTAATAAATAGCATTTATGACAGCCATGACATTTTGTTTTTAGTGTGTTATTTTGAAAATGGTACTTAGACATGTCCATAATGTGTCTTTCCATTGCAGATTTGGTCTTAAATTTGAAATAAGGCGGTTTTAAAAAGGTCTTAAAAAGTCTTAAATTGAACTTGGTTAACTTGGAGAAAGTGAAATTAGGTCCAGAGTAATGATTTGTTTTGCTGTGTTGGACATTTTTAATCAAATTTGTATACATGGTGGTATGTTTCTCTTGCTCTGAATACCTCTACCACTACTGTAGTTCTTTCCTTTTTACCTCTGAATAGAGTAATTATCCAGCTGCACAATGAGTTTTTATCTGCTGCGAGGCTTTAACTGCTGTAAAGTCTTTCCCAACTTGACCCAACATCTGAATTCAGAGGGAGATGCTGGTGTATTTGTGCGTGTGCGCACATGCTGGGGCATGTACTGCATGTTTCCCCGTTAATCAATGTGCTCGTCAGTGACGTCCAAATCACCCCGACAAGTTTGCATTTCCTCCTGAAAATCTCATTAGTGCTTTACCGCTGAGGTATCAACTCTTCTCTTGTCACTCTGCCAACAACACACACACACACACACACGGTACATCATTCAACAGGAGAAAGGCAATCTGTACTTCTGTACCCCCGTAGCACCATGACATTTCCCCACCGTCTCTGTCGCCCGAGACCACATCCCATATCTCATTTTCCTCCTCCCTAATCGGATTAACCCCCGGCATCCCTCGGTGGGCCCAGTTTCTCTATCAATGGACGACAGCTTGGCTCCTATAGCGGGCAGCTGCACTAAGTGCTTGTAAGATCTGTCTTTTCACAGAGAGATGTAGCCGAAATCACTGGCTGCAGTAATCTGCAGTCTTTAGCAGCGGGAACAAAAGGAGAGGAGGATCTGAATTTGATTCATGTCGGCTGCTTTGCTCTCTTCGATTGTTCCTCTGGAAGGGGGTGTCTGTTAAATGGTGATGTTCTAGAAAAAGGAGGAACTGTCTCTTTTTAATTCTGTTCACTTGTAAATTCATAATATGTGTGTAATAGAGCGAATGTAATGCGTGAACTGTGTTAAGGAGAGGCTTGGAGTATTATATGAGTGGAGATTATGTGTTAATATTCTACTCATTACTGTTTTAATACCAAACAACAGTCTCCATTTTCATTGTGACTGTTAAAGCATATGGAAAAAACACACATTGTACACACATGTATATACTGGAAGAATTTAATATACATACTTTGTATAATTCATATCTTCACTTATTCAAATATAAAATGATAGCATGACTACTTGATTAAGATATATATGTAATATTAATATTTTTTGTAGGCAAAGATAATTGGTAATTACACTGACAAGTGCTTTTACATTATGCTTTTCATTATTTGTAAATATTATTTTGTCTTTGTCCGCTTGTTTCTATGTTCATGCCTTTTTTTTACAGATGATACTACTACTGATTTTTTTTCGAAATCAGTAGTAAGTATCTACAAATATATATTAGCTTGACACTCGTAAATTGTGTATTATGCGGATGTGTTTGAGATGTTGTTTAACCCATGAATGTCATGTAAATTTTCATTTAAGCTTCAAACAAACACATAAAAAACTGCTGTTATTGATCTTGAAAGACATCTCCTCATTCTCCCAACTGCTCCCAAAGTCTACAGAGTCGTCAAAGTTGTACTCTGACTTTTCTTTTGTCTGTGCATACATGCTTTAAACATTAATTTAAACTTTGTTTCAATGGAGAAAAGTGTTCATCTTCAGCACTGGAATCAGGGCTGGCACGATATCAGATTTTCGAGTAATGATTATCATCTCTAGAGGAGATAGAGATAATGAAATTATCACAACAGTTCTAGAAAATTTGAATAATGATAATGCTGTCAGTCGAATTTATCTTAAACTTTGTCATACTGCGTTTTGTCTTTTTTTTGGCAATGAATTACACTCAAAATGTAAGTGTATGGAGGTGGAGAGAGTCTGCAACCATAACTGTACAAAAGTGGACAAAATAAACAATAATACTTCATGGATAGTGAAAAGGTGTTGTGGGAGGGAGACAAAGCAAGAACAGAAAGAAACAGAATAGTATCATACACATATTATCCTATGTATATTATTTATATAACATCGATAGTTTTAAATATCGTGGTTATTGTCAATACCTGTATCATGACACCCCAAACTGGAACGTTTATCTGATAGACAGTGATAGAATAACAATAATTATTCATTCTCCTGCCACTGTGCTTCTTCATCTCGTCACTTTCCTCACTTTCTCTCTCCCTCCGTCCTCCTCCCCTCTCAGGTCTTTCTTCGGGAGTCTCTGGAGCATCGCCTGGAGAAGCAGAGGGAGATGGAGGTGCTGAGAGCAGCCATGATCATCCAGGCTCACGTCATGGGCTACATGGCCAGGTACGACTCAGTATTCCAAAGTCAGCTCAACAATAACATCAAAAACCATTTGTTGATTGATTGTGTTGATTTGTTGTGTTGATTTGTTGTTGATGTCATCCTCCACACAGGAAGCAGTACAGGAAGCTGCTGCAGTGCATTGTGGTCATTCAGAAGAACTACAGGGCCTTCTACTGGAGGAGGAAGTTCCTGGTCCTCCGCTGGGCAGCGCTCACCTTCCAGAAACGTGTGCGAGGCCAGCTGGCCCGCCGGGCCTACAGCCAGCTGCTGGAGGAGAGGAGGAGGAGGGAGGAGGAAGAGCGCTGCAGGAGGCTGGAGGAGGAGATGGAGAGGTGGGCTGGTCAAGTCAAAGCAGTAGTTGGTGGAATTATCATACAAATTCTACTAATTGCTGCTCTCATGCAAACCTTTTTAATACCTAATGCTCACTGGTGCATAAGCAGTGATGCAGTTTACATTTTAGGGTTGTGTGTAATTTGCATAATAAGACATTTGTAGTTAGAATAGGCAGCTATAACCACCAGCAGCAAAAAATCCAAGAAGGTATGAGCTGTAGGCAGGATTTTAGAAATGCATGAGTCCAAATTCCACCTCACAATGCCTTTATTGTGTTTACTTCACATTTAAGGCATCTATTCAACTGCTAGAATTTATTATCTGTCAGTGTTTTTGTATTTAGAGTCTAAATGCTGTTTCAAAGCCTACTCTCTAATACCAGGCTGAAAAAAAAATAACTCAGTTTATTCTAATTTCTATTTTCAGCCTAAAATAATGAATAATGAGCCAAAAAATATCAAATTCAGGCGTAAAAAGGTCACCATGTCAGCGAGAAGAGTAACTGTACAATGTAAACTTATTAAAATCCCCAATTCCCAGAAATAATACAGAGGACATGACCTTTGTATCCTCAACGGTATCTACAGCCCCGAAGGAAGGTGACACAGTTCTTCCCGCACTGTCTCACAGAGAAATGAAATGTATTGTAGAAGTCGAAATCATACATTATGCACACTTACTTTGATACTCAGAATATACTTCTTTGTCATTGTGCTGTGGATGGGTGATGCATACTTCCTGTCAGACCTTTACTACCCACAATCTAGATGGGTTTTACGGGACTTTAATGCCACAATGAGACAGGAAATGCAATTATTTTTCTATTTTTTCTTATCTCTTACTGTCTGTTTCAGTCAGCTGATGTCTGTCTGTCTGTTTGTGTCTGTGCAGGGAGCGACAGAGGCTGGAGGCTGAGAGACTCGCCAGAGAGGTACAACGAAACTGATAATTATGGAGTTCATTTGTGTGTAAAAAGTAGACGACATTTTCATTTTAGAGATTTCACTTTTGAATTTTTTATAGAGGAGTCCAGTCTCCTAAAAGCATATTTGAATATTCATTGAATTTGTTTGAATTTCACTCTGTCACACACATTTTTCTTATTGCATTTGGCCATGTTGTTAAGCTAGATCTCCGTCTCTGTCAAGTAACTGTCCTGTAGTTGCTCGCTCTACAGCAGGAAACGGTACTTTAGATTAAATGCTCTGTGCAAGAAATTCTCTGTACTTCTGTATAAAGTGTTCATAGTTGGGAACCACTGCATTATTATATTCTTCAACCAAGACACAGGTCAGTGCTTACTATGAAACCTATTGTTCCATCAGTATTTACAGTCTTCGCGTTATTGTGGCACTGTGCGAGATTGGATCCAAAAAGCATTTGGCGGTTCTTAAGAATGCACCAAAATGTCCATCTTACCCAGTTATTTATGGCGATAATTTGGCCCAAAAAGTCATTTTCCCAGTGTGGTAAGATTCATTTTATCCTATTTCTAGTACAAATCTAATTATTTCAGCAATTCTGGGGACATCGGTATCATGAAAAAAGGTTGTGAGAAGATGAAATGCTGCATTAGAATTCACTCATTCATTTATTTTCCGTAACTGCTTATCCTGATAAGGGTCATGGGGGGGCTGAAGCCTTTCCCAGCTGACACTGGGGCCAGACTATCACAGGGCTGACACATAGAGACAGACAACCATTCACACTCACATTCACAGCTATGGACAATTTAGAGTCACCAGTTAACCTGCATGTTTTTGGACTGTGGGAGGAAGCTGAAGTACCCAGAGAAAACCCATGCTGATATTAAAAGAACATGCAAACTCTACACAGAACAGCTCCCCCACACCAGGGTTTGAGCCCCCCACCCTGGGTTCAAACCAGGAGCCTTCTTGCTGGCAGGCGACAATGCTAACTGCACCACTGTGCTGCGAGAGTTTTAGAACTCGTCTTTATAGGAATAACATTTTAGAGGTATAAGGAAAGCAGTTATTCTGCCTAAAAACTGATGTCCAAAATAGCTTTTAGTGCTACGAGCTCAATCATTTGTTGTGCAGATGACTAGAAAGAGGGAGCACCACACTCTCAAAGCTATTTCCGTCAGACAATGTTAAAGCCTTTGTTATGTTTCCATCCTCAGGCTGAAGAGGCCAGACTAATTGAAGAGCTTCATCGGGAGGAGCTGGCTTCTCTGGCTCTGCCTGCAGTAGCAGCTGCAACATCACCAGACACCTTGGAGGAGCTGGAGTCAGCAGAGACAGTTGAGGAGGCATCTGAAGAGGAGGAGGCGATCCGTCCTCACGAGGCGTCACAGGTAGAGGAGATCCTGCGACTGGAGCGGGAGATCCAGTCGCTGCAGAGGCAGAAGGAGCGTCAGGAGCTCTCCCTGACTGAGGCCTCCCTCAACCGCCTGCAGCTTCTCCGTGACCAGGAGCTCAGGCGACTGGAGGACGAAGCGTGCAAGGCGGCACAGCAGTTCCTTGACTCGCTGAACTTTGACGAGATCGATGAGTGCGTGCGCAACATCGAGAGCTCTTTGGGGGTCGGGGAAGAGGAAGAGAAGGAGAAAGAGGGTGGACGGAGGAGAGGCAATGATGAGGAGGAGGTCGACGAAGGCTTCGGGGCTGATGATGAGGCCTTTAAAGACTCGCCAAACCCGAGCGAGCATGGCCACTCGGACGGCCAGCGGACAAGCGGAATCCGAACAAGTGATGACTCATCTGAAGAAGACCCATACGCCAATGATGGTGTGACACCACCACTGCCGCCAACCACCCTGCTTCACCAGCCGCTGCCTTTACCACCAGTGCCCCCCGCCTGTCACAGTGTCTCATCCAGTGGGGACTCAGCCTACTGTCACCCCCAGGCTTCATCTGAGGCTCAATCTGATGACCTGGTGGAGCTCATACCGCCAGACGAGGATTCAGACTACGACCAGGATGACTACGATGAGGGTGCCATTGTGTCCAGTGGCAGCGTGGCCTTCTCCAACCCTCGCAGCGGCCAGTGGTCTCCTGACTACCGTGGCTCTGTAGGAACATACAACAGCTCAGGGGCTTACCGCTTCAGCTCGGAGGGAGCGCAGTCATCTGTGAGTTGGGTCTCAGTATCTCCAAAGACATTTAGATTGTTTATTATTCAGCCAAAATAAGGGCAACCCTTGCCAATACACGTTGCCATGTCTTTTTGTTACAAAGTGCTCAAAGTATTCCGCTACTAACAATAAATCCATTCAGTAGTGCTAATGTTCCACATCTTGAATGTCTCATTTGTGTTGTTTGTATTCCAGTTTGAGGACAGCGAGGACGACTTCGACAGGTTCGACACCGATGATGAGCTGTCATATCGACGGGATTCCGTCTACAGCTGCGTCACGCTTCCATACTTCCACAGCTTCCTCTTCATCAAAGGTATCTCCTTCATTACAGTACTTACACTTATTTAAGAAGACGATGACCAAAGAGGGTGCAGTAACGTTATGTCAAACCAGGATCAGATAATTGTTTGTTACTGTTTCATCTCATTATTTCCTCCTCAGCGCAAGTGAGAGCTGTGGCCAGAGGCAGTACGTTTTCAGGTTGTCGGTCCATCTGTCCTGTTCTTGTAAATGCGATATCTCAAGAATGCCTTTAGGGAATTTATTCTAATGTGGCACAAACACGATTCGTTTTTGGTGGCCAAAGGTCAAGGTCATTGTGACCTCACTGTTTCATTGTGAACGCAATATCTCAAAAATGCCTAGAGAGAAATCTGGCGTAAATTTTCACTTGGACTCAAGGATGAACTGATTAGATTTTGGTGGTCCAAGGTCAAGGTCACTGAGACCTCGTATGCATCTCATTGTCATGAACAAGTTGATGGACTTTCTTCAAATTTGGCCAATCACTTTGAGGCAATGATGAACTCATTAGAATTTGGTGGATGTAGGTCAAAGATCAAGGTCACCATGAACTCATTCATCACATTCTTGTGAACACGGTATCTCAGGAGCACCTTGAGGGATTTTCTTCAAATTTGGTACAAACATCTACTTGAACTGATTGGAATATGGCAGTGGAAGGTCAAAGGTCAAGGTTCCTGTAGCCCTAATAAAACATGTTTTTGGCCATTACTCAAGAATTCATATGTAATTATGACAAAATTTCACACAGATGTCTAATAGGATGTATTGATGAAGTGATGGTATTTTATATTCAAAAGGTCAAAGGTCACCTTCACTGTGACATCATAATGTTCTGCAAAAACCCTTTTTTTCTGGCCAATATTCAGCGTCATAACTTAGGAACAGAAGTGGAGACAATGTGTCGGATACTAAATTGGTGGTACCAATCCTGGGTGTCCACCTTGAAACTGCTGATTGCATACAGCTTCTGTGTTGTTGGGGAGAAGATGTGTGTAAAACATCCATGTTTTCAGACATTTCAGACATGGACGTAATTAGTATTAAGAAATTATAGTCCAGCCTCATATCAAATTCTGCCCTCCAGGTGGTTTAATGCATCAAATGTCATGTTATATACATAACGTCCCTCTGTCCCCCTGCAGTTACAGATAGGAAGCAGAAGGGTGTGAACACACATGTAAAAATGTCATATTTTCCTCTCCAGGCGGCCTGATGAACACGTGGAAGCGGCGCTGGTGCGTTCTGAAGGACGAGACCTTCCTGTGGTTTCGGGCCAAGCAGGAAGCTCTGAAGCAGGGTTGGCTGCACAAGAAGGGCGGGGGCTCATCTACGCTTTCGCGCCGAAACTGGAAGCGTCGCTGGTTTGTGCTGCGGCAGAGCAAGCTCATGTACTTTGAGAATGACGGCGAAGACAAGATGAAGGGCGTGCTGGATATGCATGATGCCAAGTAAGCATCATGGGGGTGTGGGGGGTTTCATGACATACTAAACTCTGACATTTTTAAAACATACTAAACTATGACATTTTTGAAGCAATTCGTACTATGTCTTTTTAGGATTTTCTTTGCATACTAAACTATGACATTTTTGATGACATGATATTATGACATTTTTCAGGTTTTCTGACATGTACTATATGTATATATACTATGACGTATTTATGACTTTTACTGACTTGTGAGGTACTATGCATTTTTATTACTTTTTTTGACAGACTATGACGTTTTTAGGACTTTTTTGCCTTTTTTTGACAAGCTGCACTATGACTTTTTTTTGTCTTTTTGTCATACCATAACATTTTTATGCCATTTTATGACTTTTATAAGGTACCATAGCGTTTTTATGACTTTTTTTTTTGACATAGTATACTATGACGTTTTTGACTTTTTTTTTGACATATACTATGACATTTTTATGACTTTTTTGACATACTTTACAATGTTTTCATACCATTTTTATGACTTACTTGAGGTACCATAGCATTTTTATGACTTTATTTGACATACTATAATGTTTTTATGACTTTTGTTGACATACTATATGATGATGTTTTTATGACTTTTTTGACATACTTTACAATGTTTTCATACCATTTTTATGACTTACTTGAGGTACCATAGCATTATTTCAACTTTTTTTGACATACTATACTATTATGTTTTTACAACTTTTTCTGACATAGTATACTATGACAATTTCATGCCTTTTTTATGACTTTTTTGACATACTGTACTAGGATGTTTTTATGACTTTTTTGACATAGTATACAATGACAGTTTTATACCATTTTTATGACTTTCTTGAGGTACCATAGCATTTTTATGACTTTTTTTGACATACTATAATGTTTTTATGACTTTTTTTACATACTATACGATGATGTTTTTTGGACTTTTTTGACATAGTTTACTATGACGTTTTTATGACTTTTTTGACATAGTTTACAATGACCTTTTTATGCCATTTTTATGACTTACTTGAGGTACCATAGCATTCTTATGACTTTTTTTTGACATACTGTAATGTTTGTATGGCTTTTTTTGACATACTATACTATGATGTTTGTTGGACATTTTTGACATAGTATACTATGACATTTTTATGACATTTTTATGACTTACTTGAGGTACCATAGCATTTTTATGACTTTTAACATACTTTTTTTTTCAACTTTTTTTGACATACTATACTGTTATTACAACTTTTTCTGACATAGTATCCTATGGCAGTTTTATGCCTTTTTTTTTGACATACTATACTAATGTTTTTTTTTTACTTTTTTTTTACATAGTATACTATGACAGTTTTATACCATTTTTATGACTTTCTTGAGGTACCATAGCATTTGTATGACTTTTTTGACATACTATACTATGTTCTTTCAACAGTTTTTGAAATAGTATACTATGATGTTTTTATGCCTTTTCATGATTTTTTTTGAGGTAATACAGCATTTTTATGACTTTGTTGGACATACTATTGTATTGTGTTTTTATGACTTTTTTGACATAATATACTATGGCGTTTTATGACTTTTCTTTGTCATGTAATCTACAGAGAAATCATTGACAACACTGGTAAGGAGAATGGAATCGACATTGTTATGCCAGAGCGGACCTACCACCTGATTGCGGAGTCTGCCGAGGATGCCAGGTAAATTGTGTTCAAATCCTTTTATTTCCGTATCAGCCTTAAACCCACTGTAATTTACATACACTATCAGTCACAGACAGAATAATGAGGAGGAGGAATTGTCGCTGTGGGGTGGGTTTGCTGTTGCTCCTGGCAACACATTGATTTCCTCTCAGAGGGACATTCCATTTCCTTCATATATCTGCAGTGACAGGATGATGAAATGTGTGTGTTCTTTGGCAGCAGGTTTACAGTACCAACCTCTCTCTCAGTGTGAGCAAACATCAGCTCCATATGTCTCAGACAGAATCAGTCTCAACACAGAATGACCTTCATTCCTGCTTAATTTGTACACACACAAATACACACATATATGCTTTTATTATTCCTGTTGTTTCCTGTACAGTATATTGACACACATAGACAGTAATAGGGAAGCATTAATACATTTTCCAAAAAAGGTAATATGTTGTATTTCTATAATAATATTTCACTGGACAAAAGTTTATTTAATGCAATCAAAATCCTTCAACATCTGAAAAACATAGAAAGTTTCCTCTTTGTGTGTTGATTTCTACGTCGTACATGTGTGATAAGAAAACTGTTGAAACATACACACCTGTTGAAGTTGACAAGAATTAGTCAGGCCTAAAACACAAAATGATGTTGCATGACAATCCATGAGCACGAACCCAAAGACATCTAGACACAATTATGTCCTTTCATGAGAGAACTTGACTAAAATGATTCCAAGATAAACTTTGTAATTTGTAATGATGATGATGATGATGATGTCATCTCCATGGTTACAGCCAGTGGTTCAGCGTGCTGAGTCAGGTCCATGGCTCGACAGAACAGGAGATCAGAGAGATGCACGATGAGCAGGCCAACCCCCAGAATGCTGTGGTGAGTACTGCGGGGAAGGCAAAGCATTGTGGGAAATTGTAGAAAGAGTTATGATGCTGTATGCTGTCACTTTATGTCTTAACAACAGCAGAATGGGATCAAAATAATTTCCCCAACACCATAAACTCCACAACTAATGCATGACTGACTTCATACTGTTTCTACTGGATTCAGCACCTTCACACAGTCAGTTTATCTTTTGTTGTGTGTTTCAAGCCTCAAAACATGGTACCAGTTGTTCCATTTTTTAAGAGTTGCTCACTTTATATGAATCACAAAAACAGTATAGATCAAAACATAATAAGATACAGTATCCAACACCAAACCTGACAAGAGAAAGTGTGTTCAAACTCTGTGTAGTTAAAAATCTAACACCCTAAATATTTTTGTGTTCTTTTCAGAGTCAGCATACGGATAAAATCTCCCATTGTGAAGCTAATTTAAATATTGATGTATGTTGTGATATCATGTGAATGTCAATTATTTGTAGATTTTCTGTCATTTAAACCAGAGACGTAAATACACAATAAGTCACAGGACATCATCATGTGAATACCAAAACCCTGTAAACCGAATGAGCAGTCCTGATCAACACTGTAACATTGACCACTGTGGTCTAATATATGCAGAGGTATTATAAGGATAGAAAGCTCAATAAAAATGGTGTAGAAAAATCTCCCAAACTTGGTCTGTGTTTGTAATCTTCACACTAGATTATTTCCTTTTAAATAGCTTCAGAATAAAAGCAAAGTTTTAGTTAAAAGCGGAACTTAAAAGAACACTTAATCTGCAAAATGACCAGTGAACGAAGAATCCAAAAAATTCTTCATGACTTAGAATAAACGGAGACAACATTTAATAAAAGCAAAACTACATCATTCAAACATTCCTTTGCAAACTCCCACAACTCGTGCAGTATGATGTTAAACGTGGACCCCAATGACCCAATTTTGGATTCTTCGTTCACCGTGGAGACACGTGAGAAAAACAGCTTTCCTTACGAATTCAAAGCAGCGACGGTCGAGTAATTGATATACAAGTGGTCATTTTGCAGGCAAAGTTTCCCTTTAATGCATCTCAACTCGTGTCTGTTGTCAAATCTGCATCTGTTCTTTTTTTTATCATTGGCTTTTTACAACTGTATCAAAACTAGGAGACAATGTGCTGAACTCACAGAAACAAAAAACTAGGTGCTGAATTCCAAATGAAGTGTAAAATTCAAAAAGCTGAAAGTAACAGCACTCCAAGTTTATCAAATTTTATTTTGCCACACAGACGTTTCGGGTCTGGCCCTTCTTCAGTGTGCTTTGGCAAATAATACTACTAGTCAGAGCACACTGAAGAAGGGCCAGACCCGAAACGTCTGTGTGGCAAAATAAAATTTGATAAACTTGGAGCGCTGTTCCTCTCAGCTTTTTACAACTATGCCACCTTTAGAATTCACTTAGTGGTCAATCTGAACACACTTCTAGATGTATTTTATATTCATGGAGCCACACACTTTTAGTTCTTTTGTATTCTGTTGAAGTCGTGTGTGTTGAACTGACAGGACACAAATACCACATCCTATTTTTTGTGTTGTACTTGTGAGTGAATGTGTTGCTGCCTGCTTTTATCCTCGTGTGCAAGAGAGATAATTGGTTTCCACGGGGCAGAGGAAGGTCAAACTCATTATCCAACCCCTGAACACTGTCACTGAATCGTCCTCTCTCCCTCTGTCTCTTCAGGGCACGCTGGATGTGGGGATGATCGATTCGGTTTGTGCGTCAGATAATCCGGAGAGGTGAGCACCTGCATCACACGTCACGTCTCTGGATTTTCTCTGTGCACATCTGCACCGCTTCACACACTGTTTCACACACTATAGCAAAGTGAACAGAGACAGAAAGTGTGTGTTAGATAGAAGCACTCTGACGCTGCTTTAAACGGTGGCATTAGGTTTAATAACCCTCAGCTTTACAACAGCTCAGGTGTGTTTTCTTCTATGGTGTCCTGCTATTCTTGCTGCTGAGTGACTCAATTTACATTTATGGCAAAAATTGTCTACAACATCACAAAGCTCTGCTCAAACTGAGAGGTCTCTCTAAAATGTAAAAGCAGCAAACTCTATGCCATGATACATTTTTGTTTTATTTTTCATTGAGCCACTAGGGGGTGCTGCTCTTCACTCAGGTTTAAAAATTATGTGTCTAAACAAAACCAATTGCTTTGTTACTTCACACTGCTCAGAATATCTTCTTTACCCTAGTTTGAAAATCAGAGTTGTGTTTTATTCCACTGAAGTCAACCAGACAACTGAGACTGTGATTATGGATCTTCTCCCTTCTCATGATTATTCTAACTACATTTCTGAACCGCCACAGGCCCAACTCCTTCGTCATGATCACGGCGAACCGCGTGCTGCACTGCAACGCCGACACACCCGAGGAGATGCACCACTGGATCACTCTACTGCAGCGCTCCAAGGGAGACACCCGCGTCGACGGGCAGGAGTTCATCATCCGAGGTGACCACGCAATCACTTAATGTCCTTTTTAATTTTACAGCAAGTTTGTAAGTTTGATGTGGAAGCTGGTGACTTATTGTGACAGCTTTACTTTATAAACTTTTGTTTTACTTGTTAAGTTTTACTTAGCTTTACTTTTTTTTTTTTTTTTTTTTTTTTTAAACTTGAAGGAGTAAAAAAATAATTGCTTATGTAGTCGTATACATTTGTTGGTCCAGTAAGTAACTCCTAAAATACAAGTTAAGAATATATCAGTTAATTTAAAAGTGCATCAAAATGTTGCAGATAAAATAAAATAGTTTGCAGTTGTCTGAACTTTAAAAATGTGTATATTTCTAGGTTTGCATATGTGACAGCTCAAACCAAACTCCATTAAAGTTTTTTCCATTTTTCTAAATTTAAAAGGCATCAACTACCTCTGGAGAAAAACACAAAATTGACCTAAAATTAAGCTTATTGGACAAAACAAAATGTTAGTGTTTTAGTGGAATAACCTGTACATTCAACCTCTGGGAAACATTTTGCAAGTTGAACTAAAATGAAGTGCTTTCACAGTCTGGGATTTCTGCTGCAGTGTCAGGCTGACTGTGCGTCTTTTGTAATGACTTCTAAAAGTGAAAAGATAGAATCCTAGCAACACAAGTATCTGATTTTTCGTCTTGATTTCCTCCAGGCTGGTTGCACAAAGAGATGAAGAACAGTACCAAAACCTCACTGAAGCTGAAGAAGCGCTGGTTCCTGCTTACCCACAATTCCCTAGACTACTATAAGAGCTCAGAGCGTAACGCCCTGAAGCTGGGAACGCTGGTGCTGAACAGCCTCTGCTCAGTGGTTCAGCCAGACGAAAAGGTCTACAAAGAAACCGGTAAGAAAAAGAAATAGCAATTTGTAATTTAAGACTGAACTGAACCAAAACGCCAAATCCCATCTAACAGCCAGAAACGATCGTACCTTTGCCATGTTGTTTAACGTGACTCATTTCTTCCGGCTCTTTTGGTGTCATCCTCCCGACAGGCTACTGGAACGTGATCGTGTACGGCCGTAAACACTCGTACCGTCTCTACTGTAAGCTGCTGAATGAGGCCACACGTTGGGCCAACTCCATCCAGAACGTCATCGACACCAAAGCTCCAATCGACACGCCGACCCAGCAGCTCATCCAGGACATCAAGGTAGGAGACCTGTGTAGAAGCTCCATGTCGTCGTAGTTCTCACCAGCAGCTAAGGGAGGATGGTACAGATGAATTAATGTAGAGAAGGATCATTGTAAAGTCGGTTTTACTATAACAATTATAAATCCAAAATTCAGGGGCCGGTTACACAAAATACCTTGTGTTAAGATTTTCCTTAAAGGCCTAGTTAAGGTTTCTTCAAAATAAAATCAGTTGCACAAAATACCCTTAAGTCTCCTCAAGGTTTCCTTCAAATTTTCCCTTAAGTATTAATGGTCTTTCCCCTTGTCTTGGTCTTATACGTGAGGAATCTCTAGACTGTTGCTCAAAAGACCTTAGCAACCAAAGCAAGGTAAAAAAAAAAACAACAACAAAAAAAACAACTTAAGGTACCTCTATTGCAACTGCAACATGACCAAGTTTATGGTGATGAAGACGAAACTATTACATCTTAAGAAGAGTGTTGGGCAGCCAGGAGAACCCAGTGGATATGCTTTTGATTTAACTATAGATTTAACTGAATTAATTTTCGTTGCAGTTCGTCCAAGCAAACAGTCTCCATGGAAACTTTTACCACTGTAAAATCTCTTTCCACACAGTAAATGAGTTAATATTTTTTCTCTAACTAAGGAATTGTTTTAAGGGATTCTGTGCAACTGTGTCACTCCCTCAGCTAAGGAGCTTAAGTGTCTTACCTAAGGATAAAACATAGTGTTTAGAGCAACCGGTCTCCAAACCTCAGATCATCAGCAGAGCGTTGTATTAAAGTCAGACCCCTCTGCTCTCTGCAGGAGAACTGTCTGAACTCAGAGGTGGTGGAACAGATCTACAAGAGGAACCCCATCCTTCGCTACAGCCACCATCCGCTGCACTCGCCACTGCTGCCGCTACCCTACGGAGACATCCACCTCACCAGTGAGTCACACAGATACACAGTAAAAACAAAAAACAGGGACAGTCATAGATAAGACTGAAATATTAGTAAATATAAATCCCATTTTTCTTTTTTATTTCAAACTAAGAATGTTATGTAGCATAAAGAATATTCACACTTTACTGTTTTTTTAGGTTGAGTAATCCAATACCCTCGTTGTTTTAAGCTATCAGGCTTCACCTCTTTAAAAATCTCCCTTTTATGCTTTTTAATCTGTAATTTAATTATATGAGAGAAAGTTAAGGTTTAACCTGACTTACTTTGATGCATTAAATGGCTGTTTGTAACATCTGAGCCACAAGTGCTTTAACTACTGCCCTCTAAAAGGCAGTTTACTGAGCGCACAACCAGAACATGTGAATATGAACCGAAAGCTTCCATTCTTCAGCATTTGTTTCAGTTAGCTTGAGAAACTGTCAATATCTGTGTCGTAGCTATTGCCATTATCATGTGGCACAAATTGAATTTTTAAAGATAAAATACAATGGAATTTTTTTAACTTAGTGTATTGAATTTAATTCATAACTTACTGTAGAAATAAAGAGTGAGGTTTTTGTCTCACAAGGTAAATAGTGTTTGCCATTAGCAAGGCAAAATTAAAGGACTACTTCACCCTCAAAATGACCATTTATGTTACGTTACGCCCTTTGCTACAAGTCAAGTCACATTGTTACATAAGCTGTGAACATAGTAATGCACTATAAGGAGCTACATGGTCACAGACCATGAAACACATCACTAACCTCCTCCCTCTGCTCTGCTCAGCTCCGAGAAACAGAAGCTACACAACGCTGCAGGATGAAGCCCTCAAAGTGTTCAGCTCTCTGCAGCACCTGGAGGGCGTGGGCGACCCGGTGCCCATCATCCAGGGCATCCTGCAGACGGGCCAGGAGCTCAAACCGCTGCGGGACGAGCTCTACTGCCAGCTGATCAAGCAGACGACACGGCCGCCGCAGCCGGGCAGCCCCGGGAACCTCTGCAGTTGGAAGATCTTGGCCTGCATGTGCTGCACCTTCATCCCAACCAGGAGCATCCTCAGATACCTCAAGTTCCACCTGAAGAGGTATTAGCATGTTTGCTAATGAATGAAGTTCTTACTTTGGTGTAATCTCTCTTACACTGGCCAATCCAAATCGTTCTCTCCACAGGACTCGAGAGCTCTTCCCTGGTTCGGAGATGGATCGTTACGCCGCCTTCGCCCTTGACTCCCTGAGGAAGACTCGAGCCAGGGAGAACGTCCCGTCGCAGGAGGAGATCCGCTCCATTGTGGCCCGGCAGGACATGAGCACCACAGTTCATTGCCATGGAGGAGGCTCCTGCAAGATCACCATCAACTCACACACAACAGCTGGAGAGGTAGGTGACCGGCATTAAACATCTTCAAACATTACTCAGTTTATTCTAAAAGAACAGTTCATACTTCAATTTTGGCTGACCAGCCTTTTTACCTTCCACCTTTCTTTGAATGGTAGTAATATCATTTGAATTTAAATTGTTTGATTTCATCTGATCTGTACATTTGAAAGAATACAACTGTGGATGATTAGGTTGCGCTTCTAAAAATAGTGTTGTTGTGTACTGTGTGTGTGTCAGGTGGTGGAGAAGCTGATCCGAGGCCTGGCTATGGAGGACAGCAGGAACATGTTTGCTCTGTTTGAACACAACGACACCACAGAGAAAGCCATCGAGAGCCGCACTGTGGTGGCCGACGTGCTCGCCAAGTTTGAAAAGTAAGCGTCATGGCATCTGTGTATGTTTGTTGGAGCATGTTTTTGTGTCTGAAGCAGACGAGTGCTTTCTGCTTCTGGTCTTTATGAACTCTTTCTCTCTGGTCTCCAGGCTTTCAGCCAGCCCAGACGAACACAACACCGGCTGGAAGTTTTACTTCAAGCTCTACTGCTTCTTGGACACAGACAATGTTCCCAAAGACAGCGTGGAGTTTGCCTTCATGTTTGAACAGGTAAGACACAACCAAACAGTCATTTTTCCCTTGTAGAGAGCCATCAGGCTGACGGAGGATCCATCAGAGTTTAACAGATAATCTGCACCCGCAATTAAAAACTAACAAAACTGAAGCTGACTCACTGAGGCAGTTGTTCTGGATGCTGTATTTATCCTACGTTTTCTGTGTGTCATCTCTCTACAGGCTCATGAAGCAGTCATTCGTGGTCAGTATCCAGGCCCTGAGGAGACTCTTCAGTTCCTGGCTGCCCTCAGACTTCAGTACCTCCTGGCCGATCACAACCCCCAGGCCAACATCCCTGAAATGTCCCAGGTGTTCCCCATGGCACGGTTGCGGGCCCGGGTACAGAACTCGGCCAAGACATTCGCTCCAGGCACCGGCTCGGTGGCAGACCGTTCTGGGACATCAGAGAGGAAACGCTCGAGCTTCCTGGAGGGGACGCTGAGGCGGAGCTTCAGGAGCGGCTCGCTGAGTCGGCAGAAACTGGAGGAGGAGAACAGCCTGGAGGTGTGGATGAGGGAAGAGGCGGCGGCGGTGAAAACCAGCGTGATGGACAAGTGGAGGAAGCTGCAGGGGATGAACCAGGAACAGGCCATGGTCAAATACATGACTGTGGTGAAGGAGTGGCAGGGATACGGATCCACACTGTTCAATGTAGAGGTGAGAACAAATGTTTTTTTATTTGTTTGCTCAATTGTTTGAATATTTGCTATTTTGTTACATTCTGTCAAATTTAATGGAATTATATATATATATATTTTTCTTCTTTATTTTTTCTTTATTAATATATTTTTCAAACAAATAACAGACATTTCAAACTCTGACACAAACTGTATTCATAAGAATATGTGTGTTGAAATTAGGGCTGCAACGATTACTCAACTAATTGAAGAAATAATGCACAGATCAGTTGACAATGAAAATAATCGTTAGTTGCAGCCCTAGTTGGAATACTGACACATAGCCTATTTTACATCCAAAAGAATTGATGAGTGGTATTTGATTTTTAAATATCAAGGAATCAAGGAAAATATTTATTTAAATCAAAATTGAGGTACTAATACTTTACTTGACCATCTCCATTTTCATAATTTTACACAATTTACATACTTAATATATTAATTCTATTAAATATTTCACATACTAATGTTAAACATTGTAGCATAATGCACATATCTCTATGCTTTACATCAGAGAGACTGTAATGTATCACAATTGTCCCCTGGGGATCAATAAAGTATGTCTTATCCTGAATATAATTCAATAATAAAATATACATATATTTGTCTGAAATAATGAGTATTTTTTCTTTCGAAAACTTTAAGTATACTTTATTTCAGTCTACACTCTGGTGTTGCTGAATACTTCTTCCACCACTGGAACCTGATCAGAAGCGCATGACAGGCCAGCCCTCATGCATGTTGTTTCTGCTTTTCATTTAGTGTCGTGACGGAGCGTTCCCTACTGAGCTGTGGTTGGGCGTGAGCCGGGAAGCCATATCTGTGTACAAACGAGGGGAGCCGTGGCCTCTGGAGGTTTTCCCGTATGAACAGATTCTCTCCTTCGGAGCTCCGCTGGCCAACGCCTACAAGATTGCCGTGGAGGGCAGAGAGATTGTCTTTGAAACGCAAATGGTACGTACAACGCAACAAACACTACTGTGTTTCCTGATGTTGAAATAAATTTGAGTTTTTGAAGGATGTTCAGTAACATCAGCGCTGTCAGATCATTTTACAATTAGCTATATTCACCTGTCAAAGTTCAACTCACAGAAAAGTGGGCACCGGTTCGTCTTGGTGAGTATATCCACTGATAGCAGTGATTCCATAGCGTGCTTCAGAGATGACGTTTTTCTGTAAGCCGACACAGACAGTACGTTGCCCTGGTTCCATGGTCAAAAAGCCAATGCTGTCTTCCATTTCATTTTGGATTATTGCTGAAAATAAGCTCTGTGTCAAACAAACATACATGATACTTACACATTTTGTTCAGTAAGATAATTTTCACAAATAAACAACACTTTCATGGTTTTTGAAGCATAAATACTATCACCATTAGTAAAAAGCTAACATCACGACTTTTGTAAGACACACAGAGGCTTCAGAATTCACGAGTGGGCTATTTACTGAAATACTGTAGTTTAGATCTCAGAGCAAAACGTAAAAATCTCTTAGGCTTGTTTTGACCACAGACATCCTGTCAGGCATCTAACCATAAATCCATTCAAAAAACTCATTGATGTTGAAATGAGGTTGCTCTATTGGAATTTATTAGTTTCGAGCCATAAATGGACACAGATAATGAAATAAAACACCAACCTTAAATCTTGAAACATTGTGAGCTGTATTAATACTCCTCTTACGTTCCTCTCCAGGTGATGGACATCGCCAAGCTGATGAAGGCCTACATCAGCATGATCGTCAAGAAGCGCTACAGCAACTGTCAGTCCGTCAGCAGCCATGGCAGTCAGTGTAGTGCCTGGTGAACTCTGCCCCCTTTAACCTTTCACCTTAAGACCACTTGCCGGAGAGCTGCAGAGGGTCGAGCGTGGTCGCTGCTGGCCGTGCATGGACGCCCATCCTGGCGCTCTGAAGAGAGCAGCTCAGACATTTGACACTCAGACTGACTCTGTGAATGCTGGAGACAAACCACAAAGCTCTTAATGTTAATTAGCCCAAATTATTTTTTGGACTGGTTTCATTCCAAAACATGAAACATCCACAACTGACAGACCAGGACTTAAAAAGAAACATTCATCTCAGGCTGGTACAATGGGTCCGCTCTGCTAAATTTCACACACAGAGTATGAACAATTTGAACAGTTTTATCCAGCTCCGTCGCCAGAAGAAAATCTTGGTATTGTACATCTCTGCAAATCACAAATACGTTACAATTGTATATTTCATACATATCAAGCAACGTTTCTAAAGTGACGCAGTATATGAGCTGACTCACCAGGAGGTTGAGGGGATACCAGCCAAGGTGCAGACCACTGTTCAAGGCCACCAAACTAGTTGTTTATTTAGGGACCTGTCGCTGTGTTTTTATCAGCTTTTAGCCACTTGACATGAGTGCTTTGTAGCAACCCGTCACTGTTTTTCAACCGGGGATAGTGCCTTAAAGCTATAGTGCGTAACTTCTACAGGTCCGTAAATGTCCGTTTCACCCAAGCCACTACTAGAGGAGATGACACAATGCTGATTAAGGCGATCGGCTCCTCTAACATCTTGCGGTATTTTTCAATATATATCATTTTTGTATGCGTGTCGCCCGGGGGGGGGAGTGTCATAGCAAGAGGTAGAGCGCAGGTAGAAAGAGAAAGCAGGTCGAGACACGGTTCAGAAGTGGATCCTACCACAAAGGCAAGTGTTACTCTGTGTACATGGTGTGTGGCGACTGGCGAGTGTTACTCTGTGTACATGGAAGTGCCGCCGGCTTATTAGTTGTAATAACGCATTATCCGCTGGGAGGCGACAGAAGTTACGCACTATAGCTTTAAAAAGTGGTTGTTTTTCGAGACATCATTGCGTTTCTTGCCAGACTTGCATCGTGTATTTTGCATCGTTGTGTTTCCAGTAGGGGTTGTGCCACCAAAACCAGGTATGTTAAGCCAAAACATTTTCCCCAACCATATCCAAGCAGTTTCTGTGCTTAAACTTAACTGCGCATCAACCATAGCATCGTCAAAACGTAAAGAAAGAAATTTGAAATGTATCTGTCACATATTCAAGTACAAATGTATAAAAAGGTTTGCAGAAACCTACAATGCCAACATTTGTTGTGGTGACTAGGTCGAGTTATCATGAGGAAAAATTGATAAATCAACCTGAATATCCTAAAGTACCAACACTAAAGCCACGAAAGGCTCGAGAACCTTGAATCTAAGGTTTTATGCGTGATATAGCATCTATAAAATGATCAAAGTTTTCACAAAGTGTATTTAAGGGATGATCTAAGATCAGTGGTTCCCAACTGGTCAAGTTCAAGGTCCACACAGTTTTATATATTCAGCGTCGTACTTGCGTTTGGCCACGTCCTCAAGCTAGTTTGCTTTCACTCAAGTAGCTGTCCATTAGTCATTCACTCTACAGCAGGAAACAGCACTTCAAAATAAAAGGTCTGTGCCGGAAATTCACTGTACTTAAAAAATAAAGAATTATTTTACAAACTTGACACGTTTGCAAGACACTTGCAGTCCATTCAGAATGGACCAACGACCCACCAGTTGGGAACCCCTGGTCTAAGGTAACACAATGTTGTGTTTAACAGCAAAACCCAGAAGAGTATCCAAGTGTCTTAGTCCAATATCAAAATAAAACTGCACTGAAGTGGCTCATAGCATTGACCAGAACAAATAGAATGAAGGTAACTGATCTAGTAATTTGAGGACACAACGAATAGACAAGAACAAAATATGCAACACGAACAATTGATCAAAACCTTTCCTCCTGGGCTCCTACCAGCCAAAAATTAAAACGTAACAAATTCACTGATTCTCAGACCAAAGAAAACCAGCTGAATCTTATTTTCTCATCAGTCCTCATTTAGTCAGTTTACTCTGTTAGTGTGGATGTGTCTTGTTTTGGAATTAAACCGTTCATTTCTCTCTGATGCTAATGTGCTGTGGCACTACAAGGACTGTTGCTGCAGAATGGGGCTATTTGTTACTGAGGTTTTTGTTTGTGTGTGTTAGTGTGTGAGAATGTGAGTTTCAAGAGAGGTGTGTGTCTACATTTCTGAATGTACAAAAAAAAAAAAAAAAACACAGCAGAGAAGATAAAGAAAATAGTTAAAGCCTACAAGCCTTTTCCTCTGCTTTGAAAAACTCTGGGACTTGACCTTCTATACAGACTTCTCCAGGATGATCTGTTGACTGTAAATAATATGCAACTGTAATCGTCTCAAGCATTTCAAGTTTGTGATTGATTGTGTTAATTGATTTGCCGGTGACTTCGAAGGTCACACAAGTGCCTGTACAAACTAAAGCAGGACGAACTGAACTCGGATCAGCCTTTGTCTTATCGATGCCACTCTTGTTCCAGTGTAACCGCAATCTGGAAGGTGCTCCCATGTTCCCTTTAACTGCCAATGTACTTTTACACTGCAGAGTCCGCCCAGCTACGCAAGTCATTCAAGCTAAACTCCAAATTATTTTCTTCTCACAAGTCTATTAGGTTTTTAACACCAATAAGCGCGCGCCAAAACAACTGCATCACGTTTATTACTGCAAACACCTCTGCATTTCCTTAGCAATGTTGAATTTAGCCAGATTTGAAGTGTAAGTAGTCAAAGTGATACGCCTGCAAGAGACTGGACCTGGTGTGGCTAGATATGTTAGTTTCAAATGTAATAAGTGCATGGTTTTGAGAAGTGTTTCGGATTGGAGCTAGTTCCAAATTTCCAAAGAACTATGGTTGGTTCGTAAAGCAGTCTATTCTTTCTGTGAGATGATAGAAGTTTGTCAACAGAGTTCTGCAGATTAACAAAAATCTAACATTCCTGTCAGATTATTTAATCCAGAAACAGTCTCCCGTTTGGTTCAGTTCAATCAAACGAATCGTTTGCCCCTTATGCGGTTCGTTTGGGAAGGTGTGAACACAGCAATCACACTCGACCTTCTTAAAGAGGTCGTCTCAGTCTAGTTACAAACGAACTCTGGTGCGGTCCTGACCAATCAAGAGCAGTTTTCTCTTGAGTTGGTGATGTTAAAACAGTGGGAAGACAAACTAAGACTGCTTTTCTGAGTTTTATTTGGTCTCTGTTGACTTAAATAAAGTGCGTGTTAAGATGATAAAATTACCAGCTATTGAAAATGGAGTCTGGTGGGTTTGACGATAGCGATTTCAGGGATGTTTCTAGTTAAACAGAAGTGATCCAACTCTTTAACAAAAAGGTCCATCTCTGTAGGGATCCTTTCCATAATGTTGCTTCGCTCTCGCTCAATAATGGACCAATTTTTAAAATTTTCCCAGTAGTCACTCAGACACAAAAACATGGAAAATTAGGAACAAGGCTGGAAAAATACAGAAATTACACTTTATAGGAACCAGAAACTCATTAGAAAATGTTTTTAATCAGCCACTAAAATGACATGTCACAATTGTTATTTTTGAATTGCAGCGACACAAACATTCCCTTTAAACCACAGGAGCTTGCAGCCATCGATCACATCACATTAGATAGTTTTGGGCTTTTTTTTGTAATGTTTGGAGAGAGATAAGTGATGGTTCTTCTGGTTGAGTAAGTTATCCACAACAAACCTTTTACAGAACATTTAAGTGCTTTAAAGCGTTACGCACTTCCCCTTAAAGTAACTCAGACTTCAATGATTGAAACACTATAAGAAGTACATGGATGATTTTGATGCGATCAGTCAGATTTTAGTTTGTATGACTTGCTCAGTTGGACCGTTTGCAGTGTAACATTCCTACAACATTTCACTGGAGCTCCGCAGGCGGCAGATCCATCCAAAGACGCGTGTGCAGGTTTCTTCCACAGTGCCTTGTTGTATATTGTGTACACTTATTTTATTTTCCATGTGTGGTTTCTTTGTTTTTTTTGGTATAATGTGCAATGTTATATATATAAATATATATACATATGTTATATAATCACGTGGCTGTACATTTTATACAAGTCTTTGCCCTCTATTTTTCCCCTGAATGACGACCACATGGTGGTTTTCACGAGATAAAAACTTGTTGTATTTTTCTCTACGCAACCATCCGACTGACAGTGGATCTTTGACACAATACTGGTATCTTGTTTTTTATCTGTATTAGCTGTGTTATGTATTGAAAGGATGATTCTGACAATAAATGGTTACATATTTGGTTTGAAGACGCAGGCAGTGTTTTTGTTTCCTCTTTATTCTACACTATTCTACAGACTGAATCAACAGTTGGAGCTTTATGTTTTGAGTGATTTCTAATTAATTAGTTTGAAATCAGTTTGGTGCTGATATTTTAACTTACCCGGTGATATTATCTGTTCCTTGTTTCATCCATCTGGCCATGGTTGTAATGGCAACACACTCAATCTAGAAAGACTGAGATCATTTCAGTGGTAACATTACATGGTTCAATTATGTCACGATTGTGCCATTTACTGTGTCACAGGAACATCTTCACCAGTCTGACAACAGGAGTTATTGGGAAATGGGAAATTTTTTAGTGTTCCCTGGAAACACTGTTCGTCATCGAACATCATTCCACATCATGGAATGATGTGGCTGTTGCCATGGTGAAATCAGGAATCATTGATTTCAAGGAACTGGCAAGTCTCCTTTTTGTCTGCAAACAGGACAAGTGACATCATCAGCGACATTACGGCCGGAGGGCAAGGGAGAAGAGAGAAGTCACTCACTTCAAAACATTGCAGCCCTTTCAACTGCCACACTTTGTCTCTTATCCTTTGTCTGTGGCAGTGGAGGATAGCAATGTGACATTCACGAACGATCCAAGTCTTTGAACCGGCTCTTTAGAGTGAACGAGCCAGTTCCTCATTTACGTCACGTTGATGACCCCTGTCGTTTAGAAATGAACGGCAGGAAGCTAACCCACTATCCGCTAGCACTTGCTTGTATTGACAGGCTTGTTGTTCATAAAGGGCGTTGCTATGGCTACACCAAACTTTATATCTGCGGTGTCTATTCTGGGTCTACGTTACAATATCCAGATCACGTGATGTGATAAATCAGCAATGCGATTCGTTGTTGAACCCACTAACAACCCCCCCCCCCGAACGAACCACATCTTTGAACCGGCTCTTCAAAGTGAACGAGAGCAAAAGAACCGGCTCTCACATGTGAACAAGAAATCCCATGACTAGTGGAGGACCTGCGTGGGCTCCTCCATCTGCAAGCAGGGTGAGTGGCCTGTGACATCATCAGTGACATCAGGATAACTTCACAGTTGAACTTGATGTGGAGAGGCAAAGGAACAAGCTTCTCCAAGAAGAAGTGGAGAGGATGAGGGTTTTACACCATGACGTGACCGTAAGGCTCACAACTCCTCACACTGAGGCAACAGGCTGAACTTACTCAGCGTGAGCGTGACAGCGAAATTAAGACTCAGGAGGGCGTCCTGAGCAGGACACCCTCGTGGTAAAAATGGCAGAGATTAGAATCCTCCAACAAAATGCCCTGGCTAATCAGACATCTTTTTGGACACAGACAGGGGAGCTGATGTCACAATTAAATATTCAGATCTCTCTCACCCATGAGCTCTCAATGAAGCTCAAGACTGAGAGAGAGGACAATTCTGATCCATCCAGAAAAAGAGCCCGACAAGAGGAGAGGCCACACCATGAGTCTCTCCCTCATGATCTTACTTTTGAAGACCTGAACAAAGCTGAAGTCTCTGAGGACATACTCCCACCTGAGGATGATCCACACCATTCTTGGAACCCATCAGCTGTATTCGGCGTCTGACTTCCGGCAGACGGCGATACAACCTCTGGGGGCAGACCCCCAATTTTTTGGCATTCCGGTTTGATTTGGGCGGAGGAGGCGAATTTCCAACTTCCGTTAAGTAAATATGCTGAACCATTGCGATGGATTCAGAGTTTGCAGTGACGCCAATTATGTTCCGCCTCGTTAGTTCACCGCACGGAGTGTTTAACCTAGCAACAACTGCAGCCTGCTGAAACGTGATTGGTCAATATCACGCGGACTACAAACAGCCTACAACCGGAAACCAGGGCTCTTCCGCTCTTCTTCCGGAGGCAAGATCTCCGGGGTTTGCCGGAGAGAGACTAGAGAGACTAGATCCACACAAACAGGAGTCTTTCCCTGATGGACCCACAACACCTATGAAGACGGCTGAAGTCTCTGAAATGAATGTCTCCGAGACATAAAAAAGGGCCTTCAATCTGGAAAAAAACGCCACTTACTTGGGTTGAAAAAACCAACACGTGTGTTCAGGCTGTTTGCTACACCAGTCTGGGTCAGTTGGCAGTCTGCAGACAAAATTTGCACAGTGTGCGATATGAAAGGATTCTAATATTAAGTCTATAGATCCAGTCAGTGACTGCTGTTTACATACTTTCAGATTTTTTGAAACCACTTAAATATTTGCTTCTGACACCGGCGGACAATGATGTCACCTGTGTCTTTCCGGAGGGAGACATGCCGGTAAATAAACAGCTTTTCCTGAAGTTATCATAAGCTTATTTTAGCACTTTACTTTTGGTGATAGTACAAGCTAACTGGATTAAAACTGCACAACGGCTTGATGACCAGCAAAACTAAAAGCAGTGAGAAAGCAATAATTTCTACTGGTTCATTTTTAGTGACAGATATGTTTTTAGGAAAGTGAACAGTTCAGACATTATAATATTTTGTACCTTCAACTGAGTGGATTTCCTGCTGAGATGAGAAGTTGTCTCTCCTGAAGCTGGTGTCTTGTTGGGTACAGTGTTATGGTTCCTCCTGTGAACAGGACAAATGTTACAAAAATGTATATATTATCAGATGGCAAATAATCACCAACACTATAACAATACATTTTTATGAAAGGCATTCCACATTTTCCACTCAAACTGAAACCTGAATGTATACTGTATTTGATCTCACTTTACATCACGCTCAGTTCAACTTACTAAATTCAAAAATGAAACAGATGTTTTGTGGTATTCTCCCACCACAGTGTCACTGCATTGAACACCCACACAGGCACAAAGTACAACACAGTTACAGAGTGTGTGTGTGAACATGAAGAAGGCAGTGAATGTGTGTGTGAACATGAAGAAACAAACAAACAAACAAACAGCCACACTAACCCACGACGTGTGAGCGTATCCATTGTGATAAATATATGTTCATAAACCGCGCCAATACTCGAACCACTTCCTGAACCAGCGTGCAACGTCATCAGTAACGTCACTCTCCCAGCGAGCCAAACCAAAGAGCATGGATACCAAGAGGCGAAGCTCAATAGAACGCCCCATAGCAACAGACTCGCCCATGGTTTCGTCCTACCGCCGCCATTTTGGACCGTCAGCAGACCCGCTCGCATACAAAAACACACAGACAAACTGAAGTATATCGCTATTAATTATGCTTACAGTGCTACTCACCTCGTGATAGCTTGGTCACAGCTGCTTTTTCACGTTTTTGTAAAGCAAAATATAGACTTTAAAAAAAACAAAACGAAGAAGATTAGAGAAGATTAACTTAATTACTCCTTCAAAATCACCCCATAAGCCAATCTACCAAAAAATTAAAAAAAATTAAAAAAAACAATATTTTAACCAGAAACACATTAATGGCGACGTCACATAGTCAGGAATAAAGATTTATTTACAGTTTGTACAGTAAGGGGACAGTAATAATAAAATAATAATATATATATATTTTAATGATAAACTCTTTTTCATCCGTTGCTTTCTCTTCTAACATTTTATATTAAACAAAAGCATTATAACAAATAAAAGCTCATCCATGTGAATAACAATGTGATTACTATAACTCCCGTTTCAGTGCATTGACAAGTGCAGTTTGGCAAGTGTTATCTTCCCTCCAAAACTGGCATATTAAATTGATATTAAAACACTTTAAAACTTACAGGGAAACGGTGGAAGGCCAGGTGCGAGGTGTTCCACTGATAGTTGTTGCAGTTAATTGCACTACACTGTTTTCTTTCACTTTTTTCATCCTCTCTCCTTGACATCTTGCATGTTGTCTGGGCGCAACAGTCCAAGCTCAACAGTCCAAAATGGCGGCAGCGCCCCTAGTGGCTATTGGCAAAAATTCAACGGAGCTTCGCCTCTTGGTATCCATGCTCCGATTTTTGTCAAGTAGCTGTCAATAACTGCATTGATTTACAATATATGTGTATCACGCCATATGCAGTTACTTCTTTATGTTAAAAGTAAAATTTGCTAATATTTGAGTGTTGGTGTTAACAATAGGTAAGACTTCATTAATCCCACACCTCGGAAATTCACACGTTACAGCAGCTCAGAGCAGAGGCAATAGAAAAAAGCATGAAAGTAATTAAGTGCTAAATAAGGATAAAATATATTAAAATTAAATACAAATGACATATAATGAAAATAATAGAAAATCTATATTCACCTTTCACTGAAACAGATATTGTATGCTCATGATTAATAGCTGCACAGGATGATTGTTATACACATGATGTGTAGTATGTTTACTGTAAAAATACAGAAATGTTCAAATGTTATTCCACAGGAAGTGGCAAAATATTGCACACTGGAATTTGCACAGGAATATTACACAGTATGTACACAGTGTATATATAAGGGATGTGGATAAGGATATGTATTTATATATGTATACAGGCCAATATAAGTATACAACAGCATACTTATATGATAGAAATGTGTTATTACACAGTATTATGTGTAATGTGTATGTGTGTCTTTATCTTGGTGAAACAGCATGTTGCTTTTATTGGTTTAAATGATCTTTTCAGTTCTGTCCTTAGTCTTGTGTGGTTGTCAAGAGCAATCACATCTTAATATGTATTGATAATGTAATGATTGTAATGATTTAATAACTAATGTTATCTTAATTACTTTCAGTGGGACAGAAGGAGACCAACAGGTGACTACCAATGACTGTTAAGTGTCAGCACAATGGGTCACTGGGCTAGCAGCAGCAGCAGCAGCAGCAGCAGCAGCAGTTTATAGACATATATATTTTATGTATCTTTGTCTTTGCACTATGTACTTATTTACTACAATGAAGTGACTTCTAATAAACTCATACACGTGACAAGGATGTCAAGCAGTTTGTCTGTGCCCTTCCTTCTGTGTTGTCCTCTCACATGGTTTCCACCATGGTGCTGTGTGGGGATGTTCCAATCGTTTAGAGAGAGAGGTACACATACACAGTTTCATCACTGACACAGAGATGAGAAAAAGTGTAACCTTAGACTCACTTCAGACTACAGCAACAAAAATATGTGAGGTCATCATTCTCAAATACTGCATTTGCACATTTTCCACAAGCAAAGACCACATCATTGGGAAACTCAGTGTTTGGTTTATTTAAAATAAGGAACTGGAAAAGGCTTGCAAAACCCAGGGAGTTGAGGCTCATGGTAAGAAGGTTGTTTCATTGCGAGGTGAGTTCAGGCTCCATTGCATCTCCCTGTTGTTCTTGTGCTGAAAGAGAGAGAAAGAAAAAAGAAACAGAAGAAGTGGTTAGGCACACCTATAGGCCTGGGTCTGACATTGCCTTGTGAGATAAGGTGTGGTCTTTGTTCCCTAACTTAAGGAACTTCATTAGTTGTGAATGTTCAACAAAGTTTATATAAGTATAACAAGCGGCATCAGTTTGAGTTGAATTTGTTTTAAGTTGTTTATAAAGTGTTCCCTCATACTGTATGCATTCAACCACTATGGGATATGTCTGTGGGTAGACAAAAGTGAGCTGTTGTGTGTGGGAAGTAAACTCACTGCAGGCACAATTTGGTGTAGACCAGTTTGCCAAGACCAAAAACAACAAGACTAGACTTAGGGCAGATTTAATTCCCACCGTCTTTGTGCATCATGCTGTGAGTCCCCCTGCACCACAATGCACCCCTGGACCTGTAGCATCATAGTTATTGCCACTCCTGAACTGTAACATTAATGGTCCTCATCCTCCTCCTGACATGAAGCACGCAGCATCACCACAGTATAATTCCTCAAAATGTTTACTTATATTTCAGTGTTCAGTGTAACTGATCAGCACATGGGAAACCAGCAGGTAGGTCTACCAGCTCTGGTGTATTAATTTTTGCTTGTCATAGTGACTTACTGGCACGCCAGTTTGTTTTTGTTGTGCTAACCTCAGCATTTGCCTACTGTGTTTCATATGACAGGCCCATCTCATAATTTATCAGCCTTTGATCCTGTGTCTGCTCGTCCCTGTGTCCACAGTTATGTTTGTTCGAAAAGGTGTTATTTAATTGTTTTATACCATCACACTATTATTCATATAAGCAGGGGATTTTAATACAAAGTTTGCTGATGTATCAGTAATTATAATTCAATAAAAACAATAAACATTATATACCTTTAAATGAAGGCTTCTCCCTCCAACACTACTAACAAAGCGCACTCAGCCGGCAGTTTATTAGGCTGCATTCAAACTGTTTAGGAGGGCTGTTGATTAAGCTTTAGAGTCACTTTGCAGGCAGAGCTGTTACTAAGAGCTGCACCATTTATATCAGTCAGTGTACATTGTCAAAGCTGATCCCAGTGCTTTGGACAACATGTAAACTGTATTTTGTTCAACCATAACATACGCTGCTCAAAAAATTAAGGGAACACTTAAATCAGAATGCTGACACATACTGTATGTAGAGCTGGATGAGGAGCATTTTGCCACCTTGTACACTCTCTGTATTGCCTACGTGTATGCAGTCTTGTGAGTCCATCTAGTTCTAGAACAAGATGAACTTTGTTTATCATCACACATGCACAAACAGGGCCTACAGATGCATTAAATGGAAGGATGTTGGAGTGAGGGGGCTGCCCATGGACAGGCACCCTGAGCACTTGGGTGTTCAGTTCCTTGCTCGAGGCGAATTCCAGCTACCAGTTCACACTCCATATTTGGTCTGGACACTAACTTGAACCGGTAACCCTCTGGTTCCCAATCCAGGTCCCTATAGATTGAGCTACTGCCACCCCAGTACCTGTACCTGACACTATTAGGGTGACAGTAGCTCAGTCTGTAGGGACTTAGCTTCAGAACTGGGTCTGCAGAGGTGCCCCTGAGCAGGGCACTAAACCTCTAAAGTGCTACAGGGGTGCCGCACTATGACCACTCTGTGCAACCCCCATTAATTGCACGTGTGTGGTGTAAAAACGTATAAAAAGACAGATCTACTCTGCTCTATTCTGCTCTGCTCTCCTCTACTATGCTCTGCCCTACTCTATTATGCTCTACTCTACTCTATTAGGCTCTGCTCCGCTCCACTATACTCTTCTTCACTCTACTCTACTCTACTCTCTCAAAAATTAAATTGTTTTATTGACCACAAAACATTTGTCTTTGTAATATTCCCACCATAAGGCATACATTTGAGGAAATATGATGCAACCTTAAAAACAGTGTAACGGTCACTACCGAAAGACTGGGTGTTTTGTAAAAAATAAAGTATATTGAGTTATCAGCTAAAGTATTATGATGCTAATCGCTAACATTTATGTTCTGTTTCATCAGTTATTAACTCTGAAATCAATCTGATCAGCGTTATGCATTTTACAAAGAAAGAATGCATTTAGATTTTGAAGAATTCTATAATTTGAACTTCAAAATTTGTTAAAATATTAATTTTTATAGATTTAATTGTGAAAACCTTCAGTCAAAATTTGTAAAAATTTACATCTTTAAACAAGGGAAGGAACAAGCATAACAGGTTGATATATATTTTTTTGTATAATATAATACTATATGTTTCGGTAGTGACAAATTTTGGGAGAGGAAAAACATTCCAAAACAGTCTGAAAATACAATCAAAAAATTTACAGTAATTTTACTAGATATGTGACTTTTACATATGTTACAATATAGGTACAAAGTTTTGAAAATAAAACATACAAAATTTCAAAATATTTCCAGCCCAACTTTGCACACATTCGGTAGAATGCCCCATATACAGAAGGTACATTTCAACTGCTAATGTGCCTGAGAATTGTGTGGATTGACATATGAACAACAAAACTTGTTAAAGTAAAATTATTTGGTAAAATAAATAATAAAACAGCAATAGGGCTTCAATCAATAATATATAAAGCAACTATTTTGTATACTGCTGGACAGTTTAATCTTCAAACTGCACCATATTTTACATGTGGCTATCCAATAGATGATAGTATGAAATTGAAATATTCCAGCACAAATTTATAAGTACCTTAAAATCATACTAAAGTACAGTACTATTCTCTTTAAGCATGATAATGTGTTGTGAGAGCCGGCAGCGACACCCAGTGGACGGAGTCGTAACAGCAATTCACCTGTATTAGAAACTTTAAATGAAACTTGAAAACGGTTAAAACGGAACAAAACGAGGAAAGTTGAACAACTGCTTGGTCCGAAATTGTAAGAGACGTTTTTATCTTTATTTTAGGCTTTTGTATCAGACACATAACCACGTGAATCAACTCTTAGTTTGACAGTGACGCTTCTGCTGTGTGTACTTCTCTTCTTCTTCTCGAGTCGACGTAAACCGACTGAATCAGGAAGTCCGGGGATTTCTCGAATCATAAAAAAAGTTGAATGGACAGTAGATGCGCCACCTTTAACGACAAATAATGACAAGCCACGTTTGTTAACGCTTACAGTTTATTTATCCTTGTAGTTTGTTTCATTATCACTGTCGTGTTAACTTATTTTAGTCGTCATTTTTTACCCGGAACACCTGGATTTACACTTTGCGGGTAGGAGGGATGGATGTTCCTCACCTCACTGAAGATGAAATGGCAGAGATTAAAAAAGACGTGAGTATGATATTTAAGGCAAATCTTGTCTCAGAGTGAATATTAACTCTGATAAGGTGGGGTTTGAAGGAACTGTAGTCAGATTTATGGCTCTGCCGACACTTTATTTGTACATTGTTTGGCGTTAAAGGCCTGTTAAAGGAGGAAATACCCCACCACACCTTCTCTGTGCCCACATCAACACTCAGTCCTCTGGGGGATTGGACAACACAATGTTGAATGCACTTTATTCTGTGAATACAGACAGAGTTTGCTCAGTGTGACTTATCAAAAGCAATTCCAGAAGCTTAAACAGGGATAGGCAGCTATAAACCATTGCGAGCTGAACCAGACCAGGTTAGAGAAGTGATTTCAGACCCCCTGCGACAGACTTTTGTGGATGTTCCCCACAGTAGTTGTTGTTTGAGTCAAATCCAGCAGATTCTCAGCCTCCCAGACCCTGTGCAATGACTTACCCCTCCTGTTTAGCTCACTTTGTTCCCATTTTGCTTCTCCTAACTGGCTGCTCTGGATTTCCAGGTGCTGACCAGACTGCGGCACTACCTCTGCGACAAGATACGAGCCGAACGCCACCTGGACTTCCTGCGCTCTCGGAGGATCCTGACACGAGATGACGCGGAGGAAATCAGCTGCAGGACCACACAGACCAAGAGGACGGCCATGTTGTTGGACATACTGGCTGAGAACCCCCGGGGCCTGGATTCCTTGATTGAGTCCATAAGGGAGTTGCGCTCACAGAACTTCATCATCACCAAGATCACAGATGAGGTGCAAAAGGCCAAAAACGAGAAGATCGAGGCTCTCAGAGGTCAATAATCCAAGTCACACTGACATCTGTTGTGTATTTCAAATCTAGTACATGTTCTTGATGCTTTAATTCACCTCACTTTTCCCCTCCTCTTCTGTCGCTCCACAGCAGGGGCTTCCAGTTCCTCCTGTGACACCAGCCTCTCCACCCTGACCACAACCTGCGACTTCCCCTCAACGTTTTCAAACAACTCCACCCTGCTCTTCCACCCGGACGGAGAGCGAAGCCCTTCCACTTCAGACGTAATGGGCTCGCTCAATTTGCCATCGCTACAGAAAAGCGGAGACTTGGCATCTGTGGCTGGCGCTAGCATCGGCGTAGCTTCCTCCACAACCTCCTCCAGCCTCCCGAGGCCCGGAGACCCGGGAGCTCCTCCGCTGCCTGAGGAGGTTATGGTCGAATCCCCCTCCAACATAGATGCTGCGGCGCCAGGATGCACCAGCAGCGGAGGAGACCCAAACTTCCAGCCCTTGCGGTCACGCTCTCTCACTCCAGCATCACACAGGAGCATCTTTTAGTTACACATCTCAATAATAAGACACTTATCATGCAGTTAAAAGGACAAACTAGCTGAATCCTCAGCCACTCAACTCATATACAAACTCTCAGTGTTGTCTTACAGTCTCTTTGGTGTTGCACCTGCCTTTGATTAGGCAGAAACTGCTGTACGTGGGATATACTAGTGCTATACAATCAGCTTTTTAAGAAAGAAAATGGAGACAGTTTAACACTTGGGCTGCAGTATTGTTTTAACATGTTTTATACGGGTGCCAATTTTTAACTTAGCTTGAATATGAGGTCAAAATAATACCATAGTTTTAAGAATACACCCATGTTTTTCCACAATACTCCCATTTTTTATTTAACAAAATAAGCCCCATTGCTCAAATGTTAAAAGCAGCTGTACAACATGTTTGCCTGAATAAAGTACTGTTCGCAAAATTATGATTCAAATCTGAAACTACCCACAAAAAAATAAGTGGCGCACATCCTGATTCGCACCCAAAATAACTACTGAGCTCAGAAAATCTGACTCACCTACTTGTAACCTTTTCTGCTCCTCCTCTCGTACCAAAGGTGCGATTTCCTGTTGAAGTGTTCAGTGTGAGAACGCAGCAGCTACAGTTTAGGTGCAGTGAGAAGGTTTAATACACTGGAATGACTACCTGAGCATTATGTGTGTAACGAGCCAGTCTGACCTCATGAGACGCTGCCTTCGACCAGAGTGGTGTTGGTGATTTCTAGTTCATTCTGTTTGGATTCAGCATTAAGTTAACAAGTTGCTTTACATTTTCGTCACTACAGAAGTCTTGAATCGCAAAGCATTTTGTGAAATAACAAACTGTGTCCCACTTTTACTTTTTCACTGGTCATGTACAATAATGTGTTGCATACTAAAGGTTTTCTATATTAACTCATGTTTACTCTCATCATTGGTGACTGTGTGGTGGTTCAGAAAAACAGTGATTATGAGTTTATTGCTGATTTAATCTGAGATAGCAAGGACGTATCATTAAGGTCAATCAATTCAATTCAATCAATTTTATTTATAAAGCCCAATATCACAAATCACAATTTGCCTCACAGGGCTTTACAGCATATGACATCCCTCTGTCCTTATGACCCTTGCAGCGGATAAGGAAAAACTCCCCAAAAAAAAAACCCTTTAATGGGGAAAAAAACGGTAGAAACCTCAGGAAGAGCAACTGAGGAGGGATCCCTCTTCCAAGACGGACAGACGTGCAATAGATGTCGTACAGAACAGATCAACATAATAAATTGACAGTAATCCGTATGACACAATGAGACAGAGAGAGAGAGAGAGAGAGAGAGATGCAGGTAATGACAGTAGCTTACAACAACATTAATGAAAGTAATAATATTATAGTTCTGGCTACTGTGATACAAAATGTTGAAAGTATGTATTAATATCTGGCAGTATACAGTGTGACAATAGTCATATGTGTATAATAACAGTAGAAGTATGACTAATGACTAATGATGGCAGCAGCAGCAGGAGGCATCTGGCAGGACCACGGCAGCAGCACAACCACACACGTCACGCTGTCCAGGCACCGCTGCGATATGAGTTAATCTGAGAGACAGTGGAGCACAAAGGCTCCGGAGAAGAAGCCGAGTTAGTGACATCCAGAATGGCCGAGTTAGCAAGATGCAGTAATAGAATACGAGAGAGAGAGAGAGAGAAGGAGAGAAGGTGCCCGGTGTATTATAGGGGGGTCCTCCGGCAGACTAGGCCTAAGTCAGCCTAACTAGGGGCTGGTACAGGGCAAGCCTGAGCCAGCCCTAACTATAAGCTTTATCAAAGAGGAAAGTCTTAAGTCTAGTCTTAAATGTGGAGACGGTGTCTGCCTCCCGGACCGTAACAGGAAGATGATTCCACAGGAGAGGAGCCTGATAGCTGAAGGCTCTGGCTCCTGATCTACTTTTGGAGACTTTAGGGACCACGAGTAACCCTGCGTTCTCAGAGCGCAGTGTTCTGGTGGGATAATATGGCACTATGAGCTCTCTAAGATATGACGGAGCTTGACCATTTAGAGCTTTATAAGTTAACAGTAGGATTTTAAATTCAATTCTGGATTTTACAGGGAGCCAGTGCAGAGAAGCTAAAACAGGAGAAATATGATCTCGTTTCTTAGTTCCTGTTAGTACACGTGCTGCTGCATTCTGAATTAGCTGGAGAGTTTTTAAGGACTTACTAGAGCTACCTGATAATAGAGAGTTACAGTAATCCAGCCTAGAGGTAACAAAAGCATGGACCAATTTTTCTGCATCTTTTCGGGTCAGGATAGGTAAATCCTGCCACCTTTGGCCTATTATGTCTGAGACTCTTGGTTGTTCCTGCAACTCAAAACCAATTCACTGCAGTAGTGTCTGCGTGTGCAGAGATTCTGTAACTGTTTTGGAAAAACTGGAAAAGCTTAACATGACACAGAGGAATGACAGTCATTGTGGTGACGGCTGGTGTGGTGACTGCACTGTCTGAAGTGCATAGACAGCAGAGAAGCAGGAGTGTAAGGATAGTCGCTCTGTGGCTCGCTGTTGCACAGCAGGTAACTTATTTATTATTAGTAGTATTGTATATATGTCGTGTTTTTACTCAAATTTTTTGCCTTTGCTCTCTGTATTAAATAAATAATCCAGCAAGAGGCTGTGAAGATATTATATAAGTACACTACAATGAAAGCTAGAATGTAAGCACATTTAACTTTCATTCAATTCTGTTCACTGTAGTGATTTTCTTTAAAGGTTTTAAATGTATTGATAGTATAACATAAGGTAATGTCACAAGTAGTTGCAGTCTGCATTTGCTGCCTGTTACATGTTTGCTGTTGCAGGCCGGCTAAGGCTACAATAGGCTACAATAAGTTGTAGTTGAGCTAAAAAATAGCTAAATATTGGTTAAAATGCTCTTTGTAAGAACATTCAAGCTTATATTTGCGCTGAAGACGGTGTTTCTAAAGAGAGTTCAGAGAATGACAGCAGTGAGCCCATGCAGGAGAACCAGTTTGATAAACATCACAATGACTGGAATGGTTGAACCCTTACCTTATCAACACATTTATGACCTATGCGTAGGAAAACATCGCCAGAACTCTCATACATTAGTTGAATTCTGCTCTGTACTTGAGCGTAATGGAGGACTCTGAGCCGCTGTGTACCTCGAGGTCGGAGGAGAGGAGGCTGAACGGCCACTGCAGATGGAGCGCTCACACTCGGACCCTGGACTCGAAGATGGTGGAGGACTTCAGGCGGAGGCTCAAGTACTTCTTCATGAACCCCTGTGAGAAATACAGAGCCAGGGGGCGTAAACCATGGAAACTGATGCTACAGATATTAAAAATTGCAATCATCACAGTCCAGGTAGAGAATTCTTTGTGTTTTTGTCATCAGGCATGAATGTGCACAGCGTAGATATCTTTAAATGTTTTCCCCCTCTAATGTTCAGTTGGTCTCTTTCGGCCTGAGCAACGAAATGATGGTCACCTTTAAAGATGAAAATCTGATGACGTTCAGACATCTGTTTCTAAAAGGATACAAGGATCACCACATGGGCAGCTACGCACTCTACAGAAAGGCTGATGTGTATGATCACATCCACTACATTATCAACAGGGTACTGACACTTTTAGATCCAAGACAAGTGGACAGTTATATCACGTAATGTATGAAAAACAAGTTTCACTCTTCTTTGTGCATTTTTTAACAGTACATCAATCTCCAAAACCTGACAGTGGGTAATCTTGCATACGAGAGTGTTGATGGCAAGTACGCTCCTCTGTCTGTCTGCCAAGAGTTTTACAGAAACAGCAGCATCGATCCTGGAAACGAGACCTTTGACATTGATCCACATATTGATAAAGGTAAAAAAGCACCAAACTGCTTTATAAATACATTTTAAAAATCATTAAATCATCAGATGGAGTAGCTGTGGAACATGTGCGTTTATGTCTAACAGCTACCATGAGTGGTATCCATAGTGTTTGATGTATTTATGGACGCTGAGTCACAGCATGAATGGAACAAATAATCACAATGTGGATTTTCTTGTGACATAAAAAGAGGAAGCAGTGTATCATAAACACTGAGTTATTCTTCTGCTGAACTGCTGTCTGAGTGTATTACTTGTGTTTCCTCCTCACAGATTGCATTAACATTTATCCTGTGCAGTCGTTTGACCACAGCGGCTCAGCCACACATGTGAACTTCTCTTTAGATTTCAAAAGGTAATAACTACACTGGGAACACTGGCATCACGCCAGGCGATGATGAGAGTGCTGCCTGCTAATATGTGTTTGTGTGTCCAGGCTGCTATCAGTGAACATCTACCTTACTCTGAAAACAATCAATCTGCAGACTGTGCGGCACCACGAGCTGCCAGACTGTTATGACTTCCATATCATGGTTGGTGACATTGTCTCAAATATGCCACACACACACGTCTCGTTGCTTTCCTTTAACCTGCCACTCATTCATTTTTTGTTTTTAAACAGATCATGTTTGACAACCGTGCACACAGCGGAAAGATAAAGGTTGATGTGAAGAATGATGTAAGAATTTATGAATGCAGAGACTGGAATGTGGAAGGCACTTGTAAGTTTTACCAGTTTCATCTCAGCCATTCATGTGTTAAAACCAAATACTCATACTGGTTATTGCTTCAACAACCAGCAGGGGGCACAGTGACACTACTCTGCAACCCCTGACATGCATGTAGAAGCAGCAGCAACGAAATCTGTTAATGCATCAACTAACTTGAAATCTGTGGCTCTGGTTTCTAGCTGGTAAGAACGACTACCTGCTCCTGGCATGTGACTCTGTGGTCATCCTCGCCTGCTTCACCTCCCTCATCCTATGCACGCGATCTGTCATCAACGGCATCCAACTCCAGTTTGTAAGTTACGTGGAGGAACGAGTAAATCATTACCGTCATTCACCGCCGACGAGTGTACATCAGGCACATTTATTTACCACAGTTAAACCATGAGGTCATTCAGTCAGTAATAAATGACTGATTTAATCAGCACAACACATGACATGCAAACCAGCATCAGATGTTGGACCCAGGGGCAGCATATGACACTGTGGGCCCCTGGGAACAGGTATGCCAAGGGCCCCACCACCTCCCCTACATAGGAGTAGAACACACAGGCTTTTTTGGGGGATGGTTTTGTATCTCTTTGAGATTATTTTGTGGGCCCTGTCACTTTGGCCCCTGAGACTGTGCCCAGTAGGCCTATCCAGTAATCCATTCATGACAGGACTGATGCTATATGATTCTGAGGTCATGTCCTCTGTAGTTTTCTAGGAATTTGTGGGACTTACACACGGCGGGTATTTTATAAAAAAGAAAAATCCCAGTGGTTTTAGGGTAGGAAGAGGGTAGTGTTTAGTTATCCCCAGTTACTCAAGAGAATCAGTGTAAATTCTTTGAGGGTACAATCACCAGTAGTGGAAATTTTGGACAGTGGAACAACCAAAGTACAGTGTGTCTGGTGTTGTTGGTAGATTTTAAGATTATTTTAAAGGCTTTTTTGCCGTTATTTGATGAGATAGGACAGGATGAGTGTGAAGAGGGAAGAGAGGGGGGTGACGTGGAGCAGGGGGCCAAAGGTTGGAATTGAGCCTATGGCTGCTGTGGCAAAGACATGGCCTTTGTACACAGGGCACCTGCTCTACCTGGGGAGCTACTGGATGCCCCTGTTGGTAGACGTTAAGCTCCAAGTGGCGCCAACAATAATACCACTTGGAAACACTTTAAACCAACAATAAATAAATGAATTATAAATAACTGATTCAGTTTTCCCTGCCTCAATTTTTAATCCTGTAAGTATTCAGACATTTATGTTGAAAGAACAAAAAATATAACTTAAAAATATTCAATCAATTTTAGCCTCTTTTTTTCTGACTATTATTGGTTCAGGGCCATAACCAGTATTTTATTCTGATAGGATTATGAGAGCCCCTTTCCATCAAATAAAAACTATAAAACCTCTTATAAACATGTGGAAATTGTGCAATCTAACCACCATATGTAACTGTGAATCCTGGTTTGTTGTGTATTTGTTTTACGACATCTGAATTTTCTCTCACGCAGGAGTTCAACATATTCTTTCATGCCTACTTCAATAAAATTGTGTCCTGGTCAGACCGCATGGAGTTTGTGAATGGCTGGTATATCCTCATCATTGTGAGCGACACACTGACCATCGCTGGGTCAGCACTCAAAATTGGAATACAAACAAAGGTTTGTTTTTCATTGACCTTTACTTGCTATATTTTTAATTAAATATTCACTGTAGGTATGTTGGACTGAGGGTAAAGGGAATGGGTAAAGAGTACAGGCCCTTAACTTGTACTTATTTGATGGCTAGTTTATCTATTTGTACTTTCTTTTCTCTTGCAGTACCTGACAAACTACGACGTCTGCAGTATCTTGCTGGGTACGGCCACAATGCTCGTCTGGGTCGGCGTGATTCGTTACCTTGGTTTCTTCAAGAAATACAACGTACGAACTTCCATGTTTTTTGTTTTTGCATAATGCATCAGCCAAGAAGAGAAACTGAAAACCTGTATTTCCTTATAGATATTAATCTTAACCCTGAGGGCGGCATTCCCAAATGTGATCCGATTCTGCTGCTGTGCTGCCATGATCTACCTCGGGTACTGTTTCTGTGGCTGGATCGTCCTTGGGCCTTACCATGACAAAGTACAACAATTAATTATCATAATCAATCTATTTCAAGTGTCACTGTGGCCTGATGAATCCCCCTACACATCAGGGAGCTCCACTCCAGTGACACTGAAATATTATAAACACTTTTTTCCAGTTTCGAACGCTCGCCAAGGTGACAGAGTGCCTCTTCTCTCTCATCAACGGGGACGACATGTACGCCACCTTCCTGATGATGAGACACGGCGGCTACATGGTGTGGCTTTTCAGCAGACTTTACCTCTACTCCTTCATCTCCCTCTTCATCTACATGGTGCTCAGCCTCTTCATCGCACTCATCACTGACACCTATGAGACCATTAAGGTCAGTCTGAGTCACCTGCGTTCACAGCATTCACGTAGTGAGAAATATCCTCTGACCTTGCTGTAGACAGTATGTCATAGGTTTTTTTATCTTTGCATTTTGGTGCCCTAACACCTAACACGATGATTCTTTTCCAGCATCACCAGCAAGACAAGGTGCCAGTGTCTCAGCTTCAGGCATTCATAGCAGAGTGCAGGGACCAGCCTGAGTCTGGAAGATACCAGACTGATGAAGACCCAACTGTCTGCTGCCTCTCTCCATGCTGCTGCTTTGGATGAAGTGAGAAGATGGAGGTTTTCACCTTTGTCGAGTGCAGACAAAGACCTGGCGTATCATGAGACTGAGTATGGCTGAATATGAGACTGAAGAGTGGAGCATTTGATCATACTGATGCATGTGAATGCCAGAATATCTTGTTTTTTCTTTTTCTTTTTTAACGTGAATCACTGAACACTAGACTCAGAGGACCAGTCAGTTATATAGTCACCAGTTTAATAACCTGAGAGCTGTAAATTCAATATGAATATGCACTTACAACCAAACCCTCCTTAGTTCAGTGATGCATTCAAGAGTGGTTTTCAACTCCGCTTTTCTTCAGTGATTACCTGAAGAGGAATTTCCTCCTGACTGCACAGTAACAACATAATTGTAGGGTTTTCACAAGCACTTGAATACTTAAAGGTCCAGTGTGAAGGATTTAGGGGCATCGTTTGGCAGAGCTGGTACATAATATTCATAACTATGTTTTCATCTGTGTATAATCACATGAAACTAAGAATCACTGTGTTTTTGTTACCTAAGAAGGAGCTGTTTATATCTACATAGCAGGTTGTAGCCCAAGATGGAGAACCCAAACACTGGTTCTAGAAAGGACCACAGGCGTTTTCGCATGGGCCACAGTAGTTCTTCTACACCAGGGGTAGGCAACCTGCAGCTCCAGAGCCACATGTGGCTTTTAAACCCCTCTCCACATGAAAAATAATGACTTTTTTTAGCATTTATATTTTTATTTATCATTGTTGTGGGACTAAATCAATTCATATATTGTAAAAGTATGTAGCTTATACACTGAGTAGAAAAACATTTCTATTCAAACATTTTTTTTTTTTAACATTTCGTCAATTAAAATATGCATCATACATCTATGGCCTGGCACCTTGTCCTCTAAACTTTGCCAAACCTTAACCATGGTGGCTCGTCTTGAGCTTCCCCAGCTAGGCTAGCATGGGATGCCAAATCAGAAAAAGTAAAAGCCTAAGAGGAAAATACAGAATTGAACAGTGTGTGGACAGCTTTGTTTGCGTTCACCGCCAGCGCTGCAGTGTTAAAGTACCAAATAATCATAAATAGTCCACTGCAGAGGAACCATCTTGTAGTAAAACACATTTCTGAATGCTTATTTAGAGATGTGTCAGTATCGATAGGCTAATTTAGACTTAACAGGCTGTGTTACCAAAAGGCTCAAATATGTTCTGCAGCCGAAGCAGATTTTTTAAAAAATGTTTTTAGTCAAAAATGGCTCTATTGATAGTTAAGCTTGCTGACCCCTGTCCTACATGGCACATGGGAGAAGTTTCAGGACTGCAACCTCACTAGATGCCACCAAATCCTATACACACTAGACCTTTCATTAAAAATTAAAAATTAAAAAGTGAAAGTAGATTAACTGATTTTAAAATCTAACTTACCCCGAATGTGCAATATGTAATATGAAAAAGCTACTTAATTAAAGTTCATGGTAAGTGGTTGCTTTCCATCCTTTGTAGTATCTTGTACTGTTCATATTTTGTCTGCATATTTCCTGTATGTAACTACCCAGCCAACATTTGTATGTGGGGCCGATGTCGGTAGTAAACGGGCTGAAAAATGGGCCCTATATAGGATCGTTCATGGGTTACCTATTGCCCGCATGTGTGGGTTTACCCAAGTGGGGCCCCAGATAAGATGCCCATTTTGGGCCCATGATGGAACCAGCCATCACCCTCCTTTTCACTGCTTCGCTGTTAGTTAATGCTACTTCTAGTTTCAGGGTCTCAGGCATGTTATGTCCACTCACGTTCTCATCTCTTAGCCTCATCATCTTCCCTTTCTCCCAGTATATGGGACTACTGTATACATCAGTTGATATGGATGATTATCAGAATATGAGCCTCTAACTGAGCTTGGTTACACTAACTGAACATGTTTTTACAGAGCCAGAAATGCTAGTATTAGTACAGTTCTAAGAGCACGATAAATACTTACAAGTTACAGAAGTTGACCCAACAAAATAAGATTTATTATTTATTATTATTTATTATTTATTATTATTTATTTATTAATAAATTCATATCTAGAGTTGTACCGATACCGATACCAGTATCGGAAATGCCTCCAATACTGCCTTAAATGTGGTATCGGCAAGTACAGCCTATGACCAATCTGATACCACTTAATGCCTCAACTCAACTCAACTCAACTTTATTTATAAAGTGCTTTAAAACAACCACAGCTGAAACAAAGTGCTGTACATAGGAGTTCATAAAACAACAAAACAGCGAGATAATAAAAAGCAGTTAAAACAAAAAAAAACAATAAAAACAGCTGACCTGAGGCACCGGGCAGGGGCGTAGGGGTGAAGAAGCTCAGAGAGGTAGGACGGGGAGAGGCCATTTAAAGATTTAAAAACAAATAAAAGGATCTTAAAATGAACTCTAAAGTGCACAGGCAGCCAGTGGAGGGAGGCCAGGATGGGTGTAATGTGCTCTCTCATTCGTACTCCAGTTAGCAGACGAGCGGCAGCGTTCTGAACTAACTGGAGACGTGCAAGGGAGGACTGGCTAACTCCAAAATAAAGTGCATTGCAGTAATCCAGCCGAGATGTGATGAAGGCATGGATTACTGCTTCAAAGTGCTCATGTGCAAGAAAAGGCTTCACCTTCGCAAGCTGCCTGAGGTGAAAGAAACTCGACTTTACAACTGCACTAATTTGGCGGTCCAATTTAAAATCACTGTCCATCTTAAAACCCAAGTTAGTAACAGTAGACTTTGCATAAACTGCCAAAGGACCCAGATCAACAGGGGAGGAAACACAGGAGCCGCTGGGGCCAAACACCATCACCCCTGTTTTTTTTTTTCATTAAAGTTTAAAAAGTCTAGGGCCATCCAGGCTTTGATATCTTCAAGACATGACAGCAGGGGTTTGAGGGAAAAGGCATCGCTTTTACTCAGGGGGAAATATATCTGGCTGTCATCAGCATAGCAATGAAAAGTGACACCATGCTTACTGAGGATAGACCCTAGGGGAAGCATATACAGGGAGAAAAGCAGGGGTCCTAAAATTGAACCCTGTGGGACCCCATATAAAAGTGGAGTGGAGGAGGATTCACAGGCACCAAGACCAACACACATAGTCCTGTCGGCTAAGTAGGACCTGAACCAGTCCAGGGCGCTACCACCAATGCCCACTAGCTGCTGCAGACGTTTTAACAAAATGTTGTGGTCTACAGTGTCAAAGGCAGCGGTCAAGTCGAGCAGGACAAGAACACGTCATTATGCATACGCATGCTACAGGCAAACGAAACGGAGCGGCGTTTAAAAAGCATTCTACTGTAGCCTTTAAAATGTCTTTTTTTACCAAATTGTGTGGCTGTACTTTAACCTGTGTCTTGATCTGTGTCAACACTGGACAATAATAATAATAAAAAAAAAAGTTTCATGGCATTCATTCTACTATTATGTGTTTATTTCTTAATATTTTACATAGAGTTTTAGGAGTTGAGACATACATCAATTCATATCCCATCCATTTTTATTTTACGCGCTGGTATCGGATCGGTACTCGGTATCGGCAGATACCTAAGGTTCAGGGATCAGAATCGGTATCGGGAAGGAAAAAGTGGTATCAGTACATCTCTATTCATATCCATTCATTAATCATCTTTATAGGAATAAATATCCCAATAACAAAATGTGCCTATTTTGTACTTATCACATCACATTTTTGATAATGTCCATGTACAGTTGGGTGCCTTGTTTGTTTTCGTCTGCCATTTTGCACAACGTGTAAGAAAGTCTCATTGAGTAGGACAACTAGACAAGTTAACCCAACAAAATCATAATTTTCACTATTTTTATTTATTTTAGAATTGGGAATGTGGAGTTGGAAAATACATTTGTTCAATTTCAATCATTTAGGCTATTTAGAATTGGGGGGGGCAATTTGTGTTTTTCAGAAATCCCCCCAGGGATCTGCACCCATGAACATAATATTTTCACTTTTAACTATGACAAAAAAAAAACACTATCCTGGATCCATTTGATCCACCATGGATCAAATGTGTAGTGCATTTATTCCACCACAGCCTGCTCCATGAATAACTAGTGAAAGCATGTGGTGTATAATGCTGGTGACTGTGTTATTGTTGTATGTGCAGAGGCAGGTTGAGATCTTGCATAGGTGGCACTTACCTGCTGCTGCCTCAGGGCTGTTATTGCAGAGCTCTGTGCTTCATGACACCTGACAGCATTTTCATTTGCATAATCGTCCACTGCACGTTTGTATCCAATGCATGGCTCAGATACTGGTCGCTTAACAACGCTGCCTCCAATAACCAAGACGTTTGGTGTGAAGCCGGCGGAGGAACAGACTTATAAAAACATCATCGGCTGCAGCAGGAGCTGGTTTGGTTTACCTGCTGTCGGGGCATCTCTGCTTCAACGCCTTCACATTATAATAGGTGAGATTTTTTTCTTATGCTTGTGTTGCTGCGGACACGGGGACAGCTCAATGCTGTGTTGGTGGTTGTTTTCGATGAAGGAGCATTTAGTTAATTTTGCCAACAACACCAAAGTTGTCCACTCGAGTCGACGCGTTTCACGCCGCTCCTGTGAGTATGTTTAACTTAGCATAAAGCTAACATATCATCCAGGTTAGCAAACGGCAACGTTAGCTTTTAACTTAGTAACGTAAATACCGGTTTAACGCGTTAGCTGACGTCAAATACATGTGTCAAACTAGGCTTTAAGGCTAAGTTACACACCTGAAGTGAACTAGTTCAATGTCAAATTGTTTCTTTAAGTTATTTAACTCTAATTTTGTTCATGAAAACACGGTTTTGCCCCAACAAGCGCTTAGCAAACTAGCTAACGTTAGCTTGCGAACGTTACCTTGTAGTTTAACGTCAGCGAACGTGAAGCTAACTTGTTAATATACGAGGCGCATTCAATTAAAACAAAGTAAATGAAGCCGAAGCACACTTGACTTTATCTCCGCCTCAGTCTGTGTAACTTCAGATAAGAGTTGTGCATGTTTTCTGGTGTGTCAGATAACTGAACGCTGACACAGAGACGCAGACACTCGTATTGACTGGTAGTTGTGTCCTCACCAGCACGGTGCTCTCAAGCTTTTACTGTTGCATTACTAAACTCCCTTTTGTGCACCAACACAATGTGCCTGACAGCCCCTGAACACAAGTCGGAACATTTCAGTGCATTGTGAAGTTGTGGGAGTGGTAGCTATCTGGTTCAGCTTGTTCCTGCAGAGTCAAGATCATAATATTGTCCTGAAGGCACAAAAGTAAAAACACTCAGATTCAGCCTGTCTGAAATGGACTCCCTCTTTTTTTTATCTCCAAATCTTTTGGCTTTAGGCTGAGATCATTTTACCACTCTGCAATTCAGCTGCCAGTGGCCAATGGGAGGGAGCTCTTTAAACCCCAATCTAAGCCCCACTGGCACACATCGGATGGTTAATCCTGTGTGGGTGAAGCAGCAACCCAGATTATCTTTTGCGGGTCTGTCTCATGGCTTGATGCTCCATTGCAGGGCTCAGTTCCAGTGGGAGCCTCTGATCCACCGCCTGACTGCTTAATCCACCTCCCGGTTGGTAACTCATGACCTCACATCCTTGTTTCCTGATGTGGTGTTGGTGATATGGGAGAGTGGTGGACGACTGTGCCAGCAGGGACATCTATGGGTAAGTTCCTCTGCTAATGGGGTGTAGTCGGTAGAATATTTCAAGAATAGAAAGGCTCATCGGGTAAGCTTTTTTTAGGCTCTACTAGAGGTGACCCATATTTTTGTTCTCATTTCAGAGCAGCAACCTAATTCAAGCCTCTCAGTTTGCGACTGTACAGTGGATGTAATGTGAGTTGCCATGATTGCCCCGTCTCTGCTCTCTGTTTATAGGAAACTATGAGATCTCCAGCATATCGCATGTGACAATGTCCCCCTCGAGACAGAACAACCTTGTGTCGATGTACTCGTCTTTGCCCCTGACCAAAAGCTCCTACAATGTGATAAGTGCCTTTTGCACTGAGGATAATATCCCTCAGTGCATTTCATACATCAATCAGGTACAGAAATGCCCCGCTAAATGCTCATTATTGCAATATGTTGTTGAGTTTTTTAATTTCTGAGGAGAACATTCACAACATTCACTCCTTTCTTTCACAGGAGCTCGACACACTAGGCCTCTCTTCCACATGCATCGAGGCCAGCTCACCAGTGGCACCCGGCCTGAGCCCAGTGCCCGCCCTGAATGCCATGTATGAGCTAATGCAGCTACACAGACGCAACATGTGCACTTTGGAGGAGCTGGAGAAAGAACAGCTGAAGAAGTCCAGCGCCTTGGACCACGTGCAGATGAACAATTCCAGACTCAAGGCATGTATGACGGGGGGCCTCTCAGGGTCACATATGTCTCAGTGTAGTTTAAAGATAGAACAGTGTATTATTTTATTCCTGAGTGTAAGGTGCAGTGATAGATTGTTGACCACTAGAGGGCAGAAAGGAAGCATATAATTCTGTATACAGTTTACTTCCTCCCTTCCCATTCTTCCAAAATGAAATGAATGACTTCTGTAATAGAGAAACTAAACAAGGACAAACCTTACAAAGTACTGTGCTCAGAAGCTTCACTATTCCCTTATCGCAACAATTGCCCCTGCTTGCAAGGCTAAACATACCTCTTCTATCTAAATGAGGGAGAAACAGAAGGTTATTTGTATCACAATGTTAAGTGGAAGGATAGAGGTAGGAGAAGTGCTGCAGGTGCTTAACTCAACATCATCAAGAAGGGCCGTCTCCAAGCAGCACAATCGTGGGAGATGAGAGTGGACCTGGGAAGGAGCCAAGTCTTCCCCCAGTTTGTGGTCAGAGGAGGCAAAAAAAGATCATTCTGATCAAACTGACGGTCCCGTGAGGAGGCGTACGAGAGGAAGGCTTCCAAGTACCAGGACCTTGTCGAGCAGTGCAGGGGCAAGGGATGGCAGGCCTGGCTATTTCCAGTTGAGGTTGGGTGCAGGGGTTTCCCGGCACAGTCTGTGTGGAAGACACTCACAGCTCTGGGAGTAGCAGGAAGGGAGAGGAAGACAGCTGTCTGCAGGTTGGGGGAGGCAGCGAAAAGAGCATCTTGTTGGCTCTGGAAAAGGAGAGAGGAGTTGAGCTGGGAGCCAGAAGAAGATGGGCAGTGACAGGCCATCACTGCCGGACCCGCCAAATGGAGGGCGTTGTGGTTTAGGGTCGAAACGGCCAGTGAAAGTTGGACACCACCTGAAGACATCTTCTCCTGGCCAAAAGCGACAGTCATGCAGACATGACTGAAGTATGTAGCATCAACAAAGATGTATTCCACAGTCATAACAATGCATTACGCTGTATTTTGTGCATAAAAACACTGTAGCAACATGTTCACTGATAGAAGTTGGACAGTACTCTGTGTACGACTGTTTTAATGAGACGTAAATAAGACACCAGTGCCAATAAACAGTATATTACTACAGCTTTCACTACTGTCAACGCACGGAGCAGTCGGGATCGTGAGGTTCCTCCAACTTTCGAAGTCGGAAATCCGTTCCAGTTGACATTTGCGACTTAGAAATTCTGACTTTCGTACAAATGGAACGCACCCTCACACTCTGTCTTAATAAATCCTCAAATAACACATGACAATTTCAGGATGGGGTGTTGCTCAGGAATCCACTCTTGTAGCTTCAACCCTGAACTACTTTCTTGTGCAAAACATTGCCACCTCTTTATGCTCTTAATAATTTATGTGTATTTGCCTCCAGGATCAGTTGGAGCTGTCCATACGGGAGAAATCGGGTCTACATGAGACGGAGAGACAGCTCCAACTCAAAATTAAGACTTTGCAGAGCTGCTTAAAAACAGAAAAAGACGAGGTATCATTTTATCTTATATTGACCAACAGTGATGTTTTCTGTTTTACAAAACGTCCAAAAACATACATTATGTGTGAGCCTGCCAAACTCATGATTCAGTCATCCTGGACAGGTTCAGAAGCTCCAGAGTATCATTGCCAGCCGTGCCTCTCAGTACAGTCATGATGCCAAGAGAAAAGAGAGAGAAGCTGCGAAGCTCAAGGAACGCCTCAGCCAGCTGCTTGTTGACAGAAAGGATAAGAAACTAGGTAAATATGGACGTCTATAGCAAAATTGTAATCTGGGAATTTCAGAACAAGGTCATTAAATTTGAGCCTCCTGTTTTCCCCCACCTAGCTATTGATGTACTGAATTGCCTGGGAAGGGCAGATGGAAAAAGGAGCCACTGGAGGACCGCAAAATCGACATCCAGGTATCATGAAAGCCATCTCCTCACTTGTTAATCATATTTGTAGATTGTGTAATCATCCATCACATAACTGTAGTTCTAAATCGCTCTCTGCAGCCACGAGGGTGAGATGTACAAGTCCTTGCTCAATGACTACGAGGCAAGTCAGAGGGCCTTGATGCTGGAGAATGCTGAGCTTAAGAAAGTCCTCCAGCAGATGAAGAGGGAGATGATACATATCCTGAGTCCACGGCCGCCATCCACGAGAGGAGCCACCACTGATGACAGCCAGGAGCAGGTATTGTTTTCCTCATAATGTGCAACAAAGTAAACTCAGTAAACAGGTCTGAGAAGTTGTTACCTGTGAGCATGTGAGTCAGATTTAACATGTTTGTTTCTGTTTCGCTCAGGCTGATTCAGACGGGGAGGAGAAGGCAGGTGACTCAAGCAGGGAAACTCTGGATCAGTCCTGTGAGCATGCTCGGGAACAGCTCACCAACAGCATCCGCCAGCAGTGGAGGAAACTGAGGAGCCATATGGAGAAGTTAGACAGCCAAGGTACACGCAGCACCGTCACACACCCTGAAATACTGCAGAAATAACGTCAGTTCTTTTGGTGCTAGTTGTATAGATAACGTTTTTGTCAGACATCGTTATGTGAGGTTACAAAAAAAGCTGGATTCTGGAAAAATGTGTAGCTGTTACAGATGTACTGTACACCTAGAAGAAATTAAGATCAGCTGCTGGTGTATTTCTGTCCAAGCCTCACAAGTGCAGAATCAACTGGAGGCCAATAAAGAGGTGATACCAAGGGAGACCCACGAGGATGAGATGGAGAGGATGAGGCGTGAAGTGCAGCAGTGCAAGGAGTTCATTCATGCACAGCAACAGCTCCTCCAGGTCAGCTTCTGCTTGTTTGTATAAGAGCAGAGATGGTCGGTAGGTCTGTGCAGGTTAAACATTTGCTTAGCAGAGTTTTATACCAATATAAGAGGCTTCTCACTACAAGTGGGGTGAAAT